CTACAATTTTTCACGAACATTTTTCATGCTTTAATTGTATAATATGGAAGAGGGGCTTACTTCTGATACGGGCGCATTATGCGTTCAATAGAAGAAGTCTACCATGGTATTTATTAAACGTAGTGATTATATTCTCTTTGGTATTTATATTTGTAAGACCGTGTTTATGAATAAACCTTTATTATTACCTCTATTACTTACGAGTCGTCATAATTGCGTAAATTTTTAATCTACACTTTCTTTTTTGACATTATCCTGTATTTATACTTTTTTGACGTAACTAATTAATGATAAATTTTTCAGTATCTACTAATACTATATAAAAAGTACTCTGTGGATAAATTGTTTGACACTTAGCATTAGCAATTTAGCATTTTTGGTTGGCGATTACGTTCCTAGATAAATATATAGGTATATAGTAAGATTATGTTTGAAAGGAACTGTAATTTTAATTAATATGAAAATGAAAATAAATAAGTATAATAATATATATAAGACAATAAGCATGTGATGTCTAATGGAAGAGTAATACAGTTCAACACTGTTCTGTGCTGAGCTGGTCAATTATTTATTACATTATTGCATAAAAATTGAAACATAATAATAATACCATATGCGCGTGGTGATCTCATTCACTCAAGCACTCGGCAGTCGGCATATGGGTACGGGCATTCGGGCACAGTCGGGACCGCGCAACTGGAGGAAGCGGGCGGTATTATCACATAAAGTGGACACGACTGTCGAAGCTTATCATTTCGGAAGCAAGAACATTGTATCTAGAATAACGCGGTAGTTTTATTGCCCGAACAACCGACTAGTCCCAATTTCATAACCATAATCATCTTTTGCTAAGGCCGTTGAACCCATTGCATTTATAATCCTGGAAAAATGAAGCCCTTTCAGCTGTTTTGTTTTATTTTCGTACCAGCTCTTTATGCCGAAGCTCTTGGTAAGTGTAATTTGACAATCTCATATTGCTGGCGTGATACCCTTTCATAATTGTTTGAGTCCTTTGGTGTTGTCCTTTGTTGGAGTAATAAAAGCTTCCTTAAATTTTAGTTTTAACAACATTTACACCACATTCATGCTCATGATTAGGCAAATTGCTGTATTTTATTAGATTATTCTTAATAGATTGCATATTAATTTTTGAAATGTGTTAAGTAAGAAGTAATAAATAGTGCAATTGCAATCCATCATAGTATTATTTAGGTCAGCCATATTAAAGCTCTGCTGACCAATCACAGCCTGCTAGGATCGTATAATATTTTCTATGAATTCCAGAAATATGCTTCCTTGTACTTTCTTTTAGCTTATGATACACAGTGTACAGTGTGCAACTTTTAAAATGTGATAGGCTTTATCTTTCAACAACTATTAATTCATCAACCTTTTGAATTATGAAAATTTACATTTTAATTTAAGATTGCTACCTATGCCATTTTATATAACATATGCGAGTACTTCACTACAATGTACTCAATACAATTGTCAACATTATTCACATTACTGGCAGTAAATTAAAATTTAAAAAAATATATATTTTATGATGATTTTAATAAAATAGCACAATATACATTTTTTTAAATGCACTTTAGGAGAAAAGGAATAAATAAGCTATTCTTGTGTAGTTTTTACTGTCTTTTGAATATATCTTCATAACACCATGGTCATCATATCATCATCATATGAAGCATGACGTTTAATGTAATGATTTCCTATATTTATGCAAATACTAGTCATTGAATTAAGTAGACTAATCTAATGGATTAAGTGAAAATTAAAAATGATATAATCATTAAAATTAATTTTATTCAAATATATAAATATTTAAAAAGTTATTGCTTTTTTTCTGTACCTAAATCTAATTAATTTTAGACTATCTCTGCACTAAAACTATCTTCAAAGCTAGCTTTTATAATGATATTTTGCAAGTTTATATGTGCAAACATTGTTACATTAGAATTTGACATTTTGTCTGATTAATTACAAATTGTATTGTTATAATTATTGTTCTGCAATGTTTAATTAATTAGCCCCTTAAAAGATGTAGTTATAACCTGCTCAGAGATGCTGGATGTTGATGTATGCAAGTTGGCTCAGGACCATGATCTGTGGCATTTCTTGAGCGAGGCTGCTGTTCAGCTGTACTAGACACAGGCTGTGATGATGATGATGATAAAAATGTTATTCAATTTCTATTTGTATAATGTTATTTCAACTTTTCAAACCAACCTCACTTCATTGTAGTGAACCTTGTTGATTGATAGAGAAGCTTAGTTGACGAACTGTTCTGTTAGCAGAAAATCCATGCAAAAACACTGAACCTAAATTTTAACAACTGCAGTTTTTTTTAATTATATTGAGCTGTTATCCAATTGCCAATCTTTTGTTTGTTTCCCTCCTGTTGCATCTTACAACACCCAAGGGATGACATGGGGTAGTGGAATTCTAAATCTCCATTCTCATAATGGGAACATCTGTAATAAGGAAATAGGATGTTATTGTAAGTTCTAATAACTTTGTGAAGTATTACAAAAGATAAAACATTAGATAATACTTATTGGTGGCTAATAATGATGGAAGCTGTGTATTTATTCAAATTAAGAACAAAGTTCTATTAATATAGTATTATCTTGATTATTTATTTAAGGAGAAAATTTTTTCCACTGTAGTTTGTTGTGTGATTGAAGCACTTTACATACATAAATAGTGTGTGCACAGATACCTAAATTGAGAACAAGTATTTTAGGTGATACTAGTCCCATGTGGGAATCAAACCCGCTATCCTCATTGCAGCAGACAAATGCTTAGACTCCGTACTACCTGGGTGTTCAAAGTGAAATCATGGTAATTGGTACAATCAATGTAGCTATGGCTACACAAACATATTCATCATACTTATTGTTTTAGCCTATTACAGTTCATTGTTCAATATTAGTTGCATTCAAATACTCAAGAGGGTATTGAACTTTACTATACATAGATAGTTCAAGACAGAAAGTTCAATGGCATCTTGAGCATAAATAAATAACTGGCTTATATAATATGAATGGCCTTAAAATTTATAATTTATTTAAAAAAAGTCCCACTGGGTATCTTGCTGGTTCTTCCCAGGTCAGGATTTTTTTTGAACCAGAGGTAAAGTAAAAAAAAAATGACTTTCAATAAGAATTACTTGTAATCAATATTCATTAAAAAATTATTCTATTCTATTCTGTTCTTATATTTAAATACCAGTTTTTATGAGTTTATGCTTTAAAACACTAAATCTTTTTATTCAACTTGTACAACAAATATGAACTTACCATAGGCAAGTAGCAGTATAATCACTTGTCATCATTATTATCATAATTACAGTCCTTTACAAGTTCTAATACTAATAACAGTCCTTTATAAGTCCTAAACCACCTACATCCATCCAATGTCACTCCATCAAGTAGGGGCTGCCCCACATGTTGCTTACAAATATGAGGCTGCTACTAGAAAAGTTTCAGTGGTCAGGCCAGGTCAATGTAGCTGAATAAGCTGAAGTGGCATATTGCCACTTCAGCTTATTCCATTGGGTGTCTTGCTGGTTCTTCCCAGAACAGAGGTATTTTCCGAAGCAGTGGTTATTTACTACAAAAAATGACTTATTAAGTAATATGTAATAATCTGTATTGAATAAAAACCATTCTATTTTATTCTATTATTGATTTAATGAGCTATGCGAGCCCCTAATGGTCGTTTGAAGATGGCTGATCCTAGTTCTTATGGTGAATGGAACTGAGACAGGGTGCCTATGAGCAAATTGTATTTAGTTATAATATTTGCATTCTAGGCAAGGTCTATATTTAATGATTTGTTTCTTATAGAACAATGGTGACAAAGGAACATACAGTCCACCTGATGGTAAGTGTATGCTGTGGCCCATAGAAATCAACATCTAACCTCGATTAAGAATCAAAATGCAGATGCGTTGTCTCCCCTGAGGACTAAGATGGAATGCCTTGTTTCAAGTAAAAAAGGTATCTGGTTCTCTACACACACCATATGAAACACAGGAGCATTGAACTGCTATTACATATTCTGTGAGAGTGTGGTCCTTCCTCGGTTGACCCAACCCATTCGTGCTACAACCATAATATAGCTGCAGTGTGGTTCTATTACATGTACATGTTTATCACAGAAGGCTGTTTGGAGGTCTTAGAACAATTTTCTTGCATCTCTTATTATGAATTTTTTAAAATAATTTTACCCCATGGTTAGTCAAAACACACAATATCATTCTCATGTAAAATAAGTATATAAAATTACATTTTATTGCAATTGCATCAGTGTTGTTGATGTTTAAAAATCAATTCAATATAACCTTAATTGCGAATTATAATATTTAAATTGATGTTTTGAAATTGCATAGCGAAAATATGTTTCTGTATATAAGTATTTATTTATTAGAAAATTTGTTCTACAAAGACAGAGAGTATTTACTATTACTAGAATAAATAATAAAATTATTAAAATGCTCTTTCGCTTAAGTAGTGCATTTTAATTATTTTATTGCATTAATTCTTGAATAAACCATATTAAATTGTAAAATGAGGTTTTCATTATTAAAACAAAAAATTACAGAGTTTCTTGCTGGTTCTCTAAGCAAACATATAATTATTCGAAACAACTGCAAAATTTGATATTGATAAGAGCATGAGCTTTGACCTTGAGTGGTGGAGTAAAAATATCTGCTACCCTGTATCATATTGTGGATATCGTAAGAGGGGATAGAAGGAAACAAACCAAAAAACTGATTTCAAGCTCTACCAAATAACAACTAAAAGGAAAAAAAAACTATCGTAGTAGACTCGCCTGCCTAGTGTGGCAATAATTAGATATTCTATGGGGCTGTAATGAATGAATGAAAAAGTCTATCTAAATATTTTTCTCTGCAAATGGTGGGCTCGGCCTTTTCTTGATTCTTTAGAACATTCTTTGCTATGCTAAATCTTTGAATTCTTCCCCAGATGATGTAACAGTTCTGACTGTAGCCACTGACGAAAACCATGGCTTGGAACGATACCTACGTTCAGCAAGGGTGTATGATATTGATGTGGAAGTGTTAGGAAAAGGGAAGACATGGACAGGTGGTAATATGAACTATGCAGGAGGAGGACAGAAAATAAACATCTTAAAGGAGAAGCTGGGAGAGCTGATGAAGACTGAAGATAAGGATCATATTGTGTTGTTCACTGATGGGTAAGCTAGCTTGTTTTAGAATTTTTTGTTTATATAATTCAAAAAGTTTAAACTTAAGCTGATATTAAATTTCTAACTATAAAATGTCCAGATGTAACTTTAAAATGGAGATGCCACATGCATCATGCATCTAAAAAGGTTCTGCTTGTGGGGCCCGATCTTCCTGGGTTTTTAATAAATTTATTAGCTTCAATGCGGCATATTTTATTATAGAATATGCTTTGATTAGATATTTTTTTTGGATTAAAAAATCATTATGTTGTTATTCTTTAAAAAAAAGAATAAAAGAAATGCCTGCAGAGCTTTTTCCGCCATTTCTTCTCTGAATCGAGGAGCCTCATTTTGAGACAGTAGATTATTAAAAACGTGGAAAAATTAACAAAATAATATCCAGAAAGTATTTTGATTGATTTAACTTTTTATAATTTTTGACCAAACCTGTAAGCACCAGTGCATTTTAAAATATAATTTACCTGTACCAGCCTTTTTGTCTAAATAAAATGAAAATCAAATTTTCTAGGGAATTTTTACTAAGCTATTGCATTTTACCAACTAACTTACCATCAGGTGCAATTGTAGTCAAGTTTATGAAAAAAATAAAATAAATCAACAATTTTTTTTATGACTTATATCAAAAGCTGCTTGACAAGTTACACTAGAAAATAAACAAGAAATTGATTGACATATATTATGTATGTCTTGTATATATTTAAATAAAGGTTGTAAACTTTCGCCACTTATTTCCGAATTCTCTACCTTTTTTTCTAATTAAACTCCATATCACTTTTTTATTACTATGGTTCTGCAATATAATTTAACTACAAGTTTAATGAAAATTTCTACAATTTTGTGCTTTAGTGATTTGGAAATTATGCCCTAAATGCAATAGTAATAATTATGCTTTCAATACTTTTTTTTATAACTAATATTCTAAGTAGCATACCATTACCATTACAGCCTATTAAAACCCACTGCTGAACATAGGCCTCCACCATAGATTGCCTCATAGAGAGGATATTTGCCGTAGTTGCCCCGTTTAGCGAGCAGTAGGTTGGCAACCGCAGTTTATTTTTTATTTTTAGTCATTATTAGGAAGACGCTGCTGCCCATCTCCTGATTTGTTTCCCTCTGTCGCCTCTTTCGAAACCCAATGGATGATATGGGGTAGTGGATATTCTTACACCGCCACTAAACAGTCAAACTATCATTAGGTATTTATTTATCTATTACGTAACTGATTAATGAATTTGTTTTAGCTACGATGTCATGTTCCTGGGGAATATGGCCGATATCCTAGCGAAATTCAAGGCGATGCCGGACACACGCGTATTGTTCGCCGCCGAGCCTTTCTGCTGGCCCGACGCAAAGCTCGCGTCCATGTACCCTAACACCGAGGTGTCCAATCCTTTCCTCAACTCTGGTGGATTTATTGGTGAGTACTCAATAATTTTGAAGTGAAAATTTCTTTAGAATAGTTGTGATTTGAAACTCGTTGAAATGAAAAAGTGGCACTAAAAAGAGACATACATATACATCTATGGGATTTAGGATGCGAGAGAATGAGATAGAACACAGTATACAGTGTTGCCTATTATGTATAGAAATTATATTTGAGCTATGAGCAGTAAGAATTAAGGTTGAAATTTTTTGATTAGAAAATATTTAAGTACTTACGATGATGAAATTGGAAACTTGGACTGTATAATAGATAATGTAAAATACCTAGTCAGGTCATAAGTATTGTCACACAGTAAAAACTTTTCTTTTAGAATGCTGGCCACAAAAAAGTTTATTGAATTCGAATTTCGAATTGTTCATGAAAATAAAACTGTATACTTTTTAGAATTTTACTCATTTTTAAATATGGCTTGGACGCTTAAAGAAGACTGTGTTGCAGTTATTGCGTTGCATCGTAGCAGTTACGCGCCAATTCAATATTTTGACATACTGAAAAATTTGAATATAACCAAAAGATTCGTTTATCGTACCATCAAAAGATACAATGAAGACTCTAGTGTAGATGACAGGTCAAGAAGTGGTCGCCCTCGGTCTGTTAGGACTCCAGCAGTGATAAAAGCTGTGAAGGCGCGAATTCAAAGAAATCCCAAACGTAAGCAGAAACTGTTGGCCCTTCAGATGGGGTTAAGCAGAACCACGGTGAAAAGGGTGTTAAATGAAGACTTAGGACTTCGGGCATATCGAAGAAAAACAGGACATCGTTTGAATGCTCGTCTAATGGTCCTGAGACTGAAGAGATGCCGCGCTTTGTTGAAGCGGTACGCGGGAAAAAAATATCGGGAAATTCTTTTTTCGGATGAAAACATTTTTACCGTAGAAGAGAGCTACAACAAACAAAATGATAAGGTGTACGCATACAGTAGTGAAGAAGCGAGCAACCGTATTGCGCGTGTCCAACGAGGTCATTTTCCATCCTCGCTCATGGTATGGTTGGGAGTTTCTTATTGGGGCTTAACAGAGGTACATTTTTGTGAGAAAGGTGTAAAAACGAATGCAGTTGTGTATCAAAATACAGTCCTGACGAACCTTCTGTAACCTGTTTCTCATACCATGTTCAATAACAGGCACTGGGTATTCCAACAAGATACGGCGCCAGCTCATAGAGCGAAGAGCACACAAGACTGGCCGGCGGCGCGTGAAATCGACTTAATCCGGCACGAAGACTGGCCCTCCTCCAGTCCAGATCTGAATCCGTTAGATTACAAGATATGGCAACATTTGGAGGAAAAGGCGTGCTCAATGCCTCATCCCAATTTGGAGTCACTCAAGACATCCTTGATTAAGACAGCCGCCGATATTGACATGGACCTCGTTCGTGCTGCGATAGACGACTGGCCGCGCAGATTGAACGCCTGTATTCAAAATCACGGAGGTCATTTTGAATAAACTTTAGTGTCATAAGAATCTATGTTTTGTTAAGTTCATTTTGGTATATAAATGGTTACATAATGAATAAACTTGTTTCAATTATTTTATATTAAACATGTGACAGAATTTATGACCTGACTAGGTATATAGAATGAAATCTTAAAACCATTTTTAAGCTTGGTTATACAATATTATAATAAATAAACCCTAAAATTACCCTACTCCTGACATTCTTCATTCGTCTCATTCTCTCGAAGTTTATTTTTGTAAAGGTTTCACTTCTGCACACATGTTTTAATCACCAGCCCATAAAATATCTCGGTTGGAACATAGGCCCCGCCACTTTTAAGGATAACTTAAATCACCACGCTTGGACGTTTTTCCCATCACTGACGCTGCTGTCCGTGGCCGGTCCGATTTTACGTATGTCATTAAAGCGATGGTTCATCATCATCGTCATTACAGTCCTTCACAAGTCCACTGCAGAACATAGGCCTTCCCCAAGGAATAACAGAAAGCACGGTCCGACCTGCATCCATCGTCTTTCTGCATCTCTTACCAGGTCGTCACTCGTATCTAGTGGGTGGCCACCATACACTTAGCCTACCGGTACGAGGCTGCCACTTGGGAACCTTTCTTCCCCATCGGTTGACGGTTCTTCGAACTATATGGCCGGCCCATTGCCACTAGATGGCAATACCGCCATATATCGGCAGCCATGATATATGACAACATAACAAATTAATTAAATGCAATTCCCATTTTTGTTATCTCACAAAATTTTAAACTCATTCAACTGCGTGGAAGGAAGCCAATGTTATCTGAATTCACAGCGGCATCCCAGGATGTACCTTTTAAATTATTGGTAAATAATTTTTGTCTGACGCACAACCAGTGATATAAAAACAAACAAAACTGAAATGACAAATTAAATCACTCAGTAGATAAGTCGATATGAGGGTTGCGGGATTTTTGCAGAATAGGTTTTCAACAATTCTATTGCTATCACGCGGTGAACTAAGCTGGACTGATTATATTCATGAAAAACTGACGAAATTATTATCCGCCAGGTTTCCTCCTCTAAAACTGATGACCGATTTTAATTATAATACCATCTGCTTGGGATCCTCTAATTAATAAAATTAAATTCCAACTCAAGCATACTACTAATACTTTAAGGTACTATAAGTTCTTTCTGCACAAATAGATACAATTTTTAGGGTTCCGTACCTCAAAAGGAAAAAAACGGAACCCTTATAGGATCACTTTGTTGTCCGTCTGTTTGTCTATCTGTCTGTCAAGACCCATTTTCTCAGGAACGCGTGGAGGTATCAAGCTGAAACTTATATCAAATACTAAAGTCTACTGTCCCTTAGAGCTGTGAAAAAATCAAACTTCTAAGCCAATGCAATCAAAGGATACAGCCGTTTATGCCGCAAATTTTCGACATTCGCAAGGGAATCAAAACCTACAGGGTACTTCCCGTGAACTCAGAATCTTAAAATTTGGTACGAAGCAACGTATTATAGCACAGATAAAGGAAAAATTACGAAAAGCATAAATTTTTAGTTACATCATAATATATTAAAAATATTTTTAATAATTTTATACTCATATGCCTAGGGATTTGTTCGGAACCCTCGGTGCGCGAGTCCGACTCGCACTTGGGCGGTTTTTTTTTATAGGATAGGGTGACAAGCGAGCACGCAGTCCACCTGATGGTAAGTCGTTGCTGTGGCCTATAGACATCTACATATATCCTCGTTTGCGAATCAAAATGCAGATGCTTTGTCACCTGTGAGAACTAAGATGGAATGCCTCATTTCCATTAAAAAGGGTCTCCGGTTCTCTACATTCACCATACGAAACACAGCAGCGTTAAGCTGCTATTTTGGTATTCTGTGAGAACGTGGTCCTTCCCCGGTCGAGCCGACTCATTCGTGCTATAACTATACTACTAATATAGCCGCAGCATGGCTCTACCATGTATAATAATTTAAAACTGAAGGTAGTCATGCTTTACTATGCATTGAGTGCCGAACACCTCAGTTCCCTCCATGACCATAAGCGCTGTAAAGTTGTTCTCCTCGTAAATAATAATAATAATCTTTATTGACATAACAAATGTTATATTTTTACAATATTTTTTTTGAAGTCCCTGACTCTCGAGCTAGGTTAAAAAACCTGTGTGACGGGAGTCAGTGCGATCTGTAAATATAAAATAAATTAGTTTAACGCAACAAAATCCGTAAAAACTAGGTTCATTCAGTGTGTTAAATAAAATAATAAAAATATTAAGTTCATATTATTGCTAATGAAAAAATTGTCTCTTGAAGACCTGACACAAAAAGAATATGCCTTTTTAATACATGTACGTGGAGATATCTTAAATTAAGAAAAAAAAAGAAGCCGTTTCGTCGTCATGATAAGCTTCATTACATTTGCCGAACAATAACCTTTAACCTAATTTTTGTCTCGTTATATTATTATGATGATATGGACAAACATTTTGCAATGTAGATCTAGCTCAATATTATTACATTTTATTCATTCTTGATTATTTGATCATTATTTATTTATTACCTCAACTAGGTGTTATGTCTACTTTTCTGCCCAGGAGTTTGTCCGGTTAGCTACCACCCTCGTATCTATTTGTGCTGCCAAATAACAGTGAAAAAAAAAAGACCGCTTTAAGGCCAGAAATAGAAAGAGAGTGATACTAAGCCTGATGGAGTTTTAGGTCTCCACAGCATGTAGTTAAAGATACCTGCTTTATTTAAACGGAAAATGACAATTCATACATTCCGCGAGAATTTCGTGGCAGCCTGTGATTAAATAATGATAACTAAATAGACCTTACTCCCAAAAATCGACGTCAACTGAAAGTGCTAACATTGCTCTCTTTCTCTTTTGCCTCAATAACACTTTAATTAATTTAGATTATAATAGAATGTGATATAGAATTTTAGTTTGGATTTTATAATATAGATGTAAATAACAGCCTAGATTTAAGACATTAGGTCTCTCAACAGGTGACTCAACAGTCATCTCCTTATAACGCCACGCTGCCCTACAAGCTACACTCCACAAAGCAGCTCTTGTTTCTTATACAAAGAATAGTTTCATTTAACTTCACATAACACCTATGGTCAAGAAGAAGTCTACGTCTGAACGATACGGAGCCCTGCAGAAAAGATCCCATTTCGAATAAGATGTATTAATTTAGATTACAAATTAGGCCAATTATTATCACATTAACTCTCGCATCAGCCTACCAACAGTTCACTGCTGGAAATAGGCCTCCTCATAGATTGCTTAATAGGGGGAGTATTTGCTATATTTGCCACTCTTGGTAGGCTGGTTGGCAACTGCAGTTCCATTTTTATTTTTGAGTTGTTTTCAGTTAAGATGCTGCAGGCCATCTCTTATTTCTTCCTGTGAAACAATCCAGAGAAACCCTATAACCGAAAAGATGCCATTCACTCCGAAACTTCAATCATTGCTTCAGTACTTGCTGGATGAATTAATTGGTTATGAAAAAGTAGCCAAAGAAATCATAGTTTTATATTGCATATTAACAATATGACTTTTCACAGGTTATCTGCCGGAAATCTATGAAATACTTAACGCGAAGGAGATCAAAGATAAGGACGACGACCAGCTGTATTACACCAAGATATATTTGGACAAGAATATGAGAGAGACTTTGAAGATATCATTGGACCACAAATCTGAAATATTCCAAAACCTTAATGGTGCACTTTGTAAGTCGTTTTTTTTTACAAGATATCTGTTTTAAAAACTAAAGGCATATAAAAAGAAATGATAAACAAATAATGATACAGTCTGTTTTTTTTAAATATGTTTTATTTCGAATTGATTTTTGTAGCATAGTATGCTGCACATCTATCCTCGATTAAGAATCAAAATGCAGATCTGTTATTACCTCTGAGGACTTAAATGGAATGCCTCGTTATCAGTAGACAGGGCCACGCACTCACCATAAAAAAAACAGCAGCATTAAACATCTATTTTACGCTGGAATTCTGTGATATCGTGATCCTGCTCATTTCGACAGCCGACCCATCTGTGCTGCAGCTAATATATAGACATATGTGTAATAAATACTAATAGTGAATCAACTCGGCGACTAGACGGAGCAACTATGGGGCGCGGTATGATGGAGGGCGGAGTCCCCCTCCTCCTGGCCGCGACCTCTGCGGTAGTACCGGTCGGCTTCGCTTGCGTACCGGTACGCCCGTTTAGGTAGGGGTGTCCACTTTGAAAATACATCGATGTTTTTTTTCGATGTGATGCATCGAAACTGTGCATCGATATATTCCGATGCATCGGTTAAAAACATCGATGTTTTTTCAACATCGAGTACTTTTTCTCACTTCAAACAACCGACAATTTTGAATGATCTACTACTCTTACATCTGTACTGTCTGCCCGCACGCCATTTGTGAGTGTGTATGTGTGTTCAAGGATGTTAGTTAGATAGATAGATAGATATTCTTAATTGCATGACACACAGTGTCTTATTCGTAAGAACTAATATATTGTTAACAGGCGTAAATATTCATAGTTATTTATTTGTATTATTTATATTTGTATGTTGATGTGTATATATGTATGTATACGTCTGTATGCATATATTTGTATATATAACGCGTAGTGTTTCTGTATATTTTGTGGTATATATGCATAAATAGGAGATATTTCTATAGTATATTTGTTTTATATATTTGTAAAATTAATATATAACTTAGTTAATTATCATTTTTATTTTGTTATTATTTTATACTGCTACACCTACGTCAAATTCTCGTGGGTTGACTGGTAGATTTTTTTTGTATTATTCCCTTTGTATTCTTTTATATTAAGGAATGCAATAAAGAATAAATAAATTATTATTTATGATCATTCACCTACTACTAAATGGACGGCGGATCTAGAACAAAATTCACGAAAAATGTGTCCCGAGTCAATCTATACAAACGTATTTTATATATAATTTTACTTGCGACAATTTATCAGCCTTTTAACGTCAACCAGAGGCTGCATTCTTTTCGCCTTATGAAGCTTCTAGCGAAAATTATCGGTATGTTTTTTTTTTTACAATTAATGTGAATTTAAATTAAATACTACGTATCATGTATCTAAACAAAATACTTATTATTTTTAAATTATTAAATATTAATTAATAGTCTAATATAAATAGTATCGAAAAAATATATAAATAGTTTTGCTCGTTTTGTGATACTGTACGCCAATTTGGAGTGTATTATCGGGCGACAAAACAAAGACTGGCGTTCAATTCGAGCTCTTTTTGCATTTTGGAATTCTTTTGGCTCGGACACTTGAGCGCATAGCCGAGGTCCATTTAGTAGTAGGTCAATGTTTATGATATTATTTTAAATGATAAAAATTGATACATTCACAATAAAAATACTTACATATGGAATGCAAATCCATCTTTTTGTAAACTTTAAGTATTTGACTGCTTTATGCACACGTTAACCGCACCGATTGGCATTTTTCAAAAAACACCTACTTTGGCGGAAATGATTCTTATAAGGATAAAAATCTAGTGCGTTTATAAAAACGATTCCGTAAGCAGGTTTAATCAACGCACAAGATTTTTAAATCCAATACCTTGGCAGAGGGCAATAATCATGCGAGGCGAGTCCCCTGTGTTAAATGGTCTAAAGGCGTTAACTCACTTGCCTGCCGCAGGGGCAATCTAGGGTGTAGAAGTGGGGATTACCCTTAATTTCCTCCTGAATTGTGATGTGTGTATGAAAGCAGGGGTAATTTTCTAAGTCGGCCCCGTGGCTGAGCGGCAGGGGCGCAAGAACTTCCTTGCTCCCTAGATCATAGCTACCGCTGCCACGTGTGTAGCGCAATTGGAACAATTTCAATCAGTTCGTTAATGACTTTCGCGCGCAGCACACTTCACAATAGATATCAATAAAAAATGTGAAATTTGGACACTGGTGATAGAAGTGTATAAACAGCGGCTTCTTCACCCATTATCTCCTTTTTGTTTTTTTTACGGCAGCACCGCAGAAGGAACGTTATTTGAACGTTGTAACATTTTAAAACGTGGTAGAGTCATGCTGCAGCTTTTAAGGACTGTTTTGGTCTTAATTATTAATTAATTAGTTGTTTTATCATAAATATGGGTGTCTATGGGCCACAGTATCTCCTTAACATCAGGTGGACTGTCCTCATTTGTCACCCTTATTCTTTATAAAAAAAGAACCAAGGCTATATTTACCGATTCATTGATATTTCGATAAAACTGGCGCCATTCTCAACGCATGTGTCCACCGAGATGTACACTTTCATACTGAACGGCAGGCATGTGTGTAGAGAGACAATTCTGATATTGTCCCGATCGCTGTTCATCCTAGATTGCCCTGCGGCATGCAAGTGAGTAGCCGCCTTAAAACCGAGACAGACCAGACGATTTTTTTTTATTCTCTTTAGCACAGTGTTGCCGACCAACCAATTTCTTGATTCCGCTAAGGACTGACAGCTGCCAAGTAGCGCCACCAACAGGTTTAATATTATAACTTCTAAATAAGAGCGCTGTTTTTCTGGTTTAGAAGTTATAATATTAATAGTGATCAATAAGTATACCCTTTTTACCATTGGATGGTTATCATTGATTCGATGTTTTATGAGAATACATCGATACATCGAGTATATCAATAACTTTCTAAAACATCGGATCGATTCGATACATCGTATTGTAAACATCGAGTGAATTCGATGCATCGATGTATATCGAATATCCCTACGTTTAGGAGTGTCACGTACACGGAATCAGTTGCACGCTTTTGGTGTTCACCCAGCAACATGATATTACTCGATATTATTTTGAAATATTGGGAAAGATTGTATGACGCTTTAAGTAAAATTGAATTCTAAAAAAACATGCGTGAGTGTCGTGGAACACTCGGTTGGAACGAAGTTCCTTCCGTAGTATATTATTAGGTATTGATAAACGTATTATATTATTGATTAACAAATACAAATAAATAAATGTAAAAATATTATTTCTTTAAGGCAAGATAAGAAAAAGTGCGATGGAGATGGATATTCCATTCCATCTCGCTACACTACGTCAGAAGGGGTCGTGGCAGAAAAATCTTACATTTTTGTCGCCTAGCCCCCATCCGCCGAATCCGTACTGTCCGATAAAGAACTTCGTTCCAATAACTGTGTGATTGCATTCATCACGATTTTTAATTGAATTATATGTAGAAATGAGAATTCATCATATCATTAAATTCAACTAAAGACAATAAAAAAAAAAAAACAATAACAAATGTCGTAAATATTTGTCGGTTGCACCTCTGTAACGAGGCGGTTGAATAAACAGAACCAACATTCTGTTCAACCCTCTATCAATTATTTTAAGTGGAATACTATTATATAGGTAAAATATAGTAAAATTAGATAAGTACCAGAGTAACAGACTTGTGCTGGTACAAGTCTGTTTCCATCACGACTAATCAGGCGAAACTGCGAAATGCAACTAGTTTTGTAAAGTAGTAATTAGTTTGTATTTTTGTATAGAAACAATTAATTATTACGAGAAATACTGATAAAATATAATGTTATGATATTATTATTTAAGGAAATGTTTTTGTGACAACCCTTGCATATTTTTATCAACTTGACTTCGAGACAGCTTTGTAGGTATTTTGCCGTATAACAAAGGAGTTAACCCACTATTAGTATGTATTATACATATGATATAGCTGTAGCATGGCTGTACCACGTAAAAAATACATAGATAACTTTAAAAAAAAACTGTGATGCTAATTATTTGACGAATACTTCCGTTAGCCACTCCAACTCTGCCTAAAATGTATAGAAAGGATTCGAATTTCCGACTTATGTTGCCCATTAGAACCTTCTGACTACAGTTGATTTATGAATCGTTAATTGATTGTAAAAATTAAAAGTGTTATTTTGAATATATAGTTGAATTAATGAATGAATTATTTTAGCCGATGTTCAACTTCGCGCAAATTCAACTGAGGAGTGGCCATATATAGAGAATGTAGCTACAAAGCAGAGGCCTCTGATAGTTCACGGGAACGGACCATCCAAGCTGACCCTGAACTATCTTGGGAACTATCTAGCCAAGTCCTGGTCGATGAATGAAGGCTGTACTCTTTGTGCTGAGAAGAGGATTAAACTTAAGGTATTTTTTAATTGATTATTTTTTTATACAGTAATAGAATACAGTTTAAAAAAAATGTTACTGCTTTTCTGCCTTTGAGTTCTTCTGGATAAGTACCACCGTTTTATCTATTTATCTATCTCTTTATCTCTCTATATCTATTTCTGCCACCAAGCAGCATTTCATGCACTGCACTGAACTCGTGATTTCGTGCACAACACGCGTTCCGGTCCAACTCAAGATTAATATACCCTCTTCCGTTTTATTATACTGGTCACTTTTTTATAGAATAAGGGTGACATACGAGCACACAGTCCACCTGATGGTAAGTGGTTGCTGTGGCCCATAGACATCTACACCTATCTTCGTTTGCGAATTAAAATGCAAATGCGTTGTCAGCCGTGAGGACTAAGATAGAATGCCTCTTTTCCAATAAAATGAGTCTCCGGTTCTACACTCACCATACGAAACACAGCAGTGTTAAACTGCTATTTTACGCTGATATTCTGTGAGAGCGTGGTCCTTCCCCGTTCGAGCCGACCCATTCGTGCTACAACTATACTATTAATATGGCTGCAGCAAGGCTCTACCACGTAAATATATATATACTAGCTGAGCCCCGCGGTTTTACCCGCATCATCACGTGTCCGAGGTGCGCGACATGACCTAGTTCAAGCATTTTATAACGGCTAGGGTTTAAGCGTCGTTCGCGCGCTCAGCCAAGTATTGAATTATTTTAATTTTACATTATCTCTTAAACTGTGCGTCCAAATAACATGGTATAAAGAACAAAGTTTATCTTCATAAAATTGTCTTGATGATGAAGTAACTTTCGTTCGGAAGGATAAATAGGCCATGCCTAATAATAACGCTCATAAATCCCTTAAAATTTCAATATTTTTTTGTCACAAAATATCAAATTATGGCTTATGTATAAGAAATAGACATATGGTATCGCGGACTTTTTTTTAGACGGAGTAAAGGTCTATATTTTTCTAGAACATTGTATTTACGTATCCCTAACGATAACACCAGCGTACGTGGATAAATCGTTTCGGGAGTGCTTTTTCTTCTGACTTGCTTAACAAATATCCATATTTAAGGCTAGCTGAGTGATATAGCTTAATGCTAGATAGCCTATACTATTTCACATGAATCTGGCTATAATACACAAAAAGAATTTTTCAAATCGGACTGGTAGTTCCAGAGATTAGCGCGTTTAAACAAACAAAAAAATCTTCCGCTATATATATATATATATATATATATATATATATATATATATATATATATATATATATATTATAACGGTCAAACTAAATAGGTCGAGTTATTAATAAATTTTATATTCACACTAAAAAATTTACGTGATTAATGCAGATATAAACTTTGAAAGGACAGAACGTCTGCTGAGCACACAGTACTATATTATATAGGATTTTTATAAATAAGCCTATTAGAGTATGTCATTTTATATTATGTTTGCCCTTTCTTCACGTTCCTTGTTTCTTCAATTGGTAAACATTTAATCATCTTCCACAGGATGATAACCTACCTACCGTCATGATGGCGGTGTTTATCGAGCAAGCGACTCCGTTCCTTGAGGAGTTCTTCCAGCAACTTCTAGACATCGATTACCCGAAGAACAAGATCCAACTCCTCGTCCGCAACTACGTCGAATATCACGAGGCTGAAGTGGACAGTTTCTACCAGAAACACTCCAAGGATTACGCAACCGCGAAGAGGATCAAACCAAGCGATTTCATATCTGAAGCCGAAGCAAGGAATATTGCGATGTAAGTATCTCTTAAAGTCTCCCTTAGAAATTGAAATTCATTTATAAATTTCGTTATAGTTTGTCGCTTATAATCAAATAAAGAAACCATTTTTAGTCATAGGATACCAGTTTCTAAATACGAGTTTTTCAGACTCCTTTTTCAAATTCTTTTTGAGTGCAGAAGATTTCGTGACGTTGCAGTTTTTTTTTTTTCGAAAACTACTACTTTAAACTTCGACCTGGTAGATGCAGGAAGTCGATGGATGCAGGTGGCTCAGGACCGGGGCATTCTGTGTGGCATTTCTTAGAGGAGGCCTATGTTCAGAAGTGGACTTGTGATGGGTTGTAATGATGATTATGATGTTGATGGTGTTGGTGGTGATGTTGGTCATGATGATGATGATGATGATGATGATGACTTTGATCATAACAAGGTGACATAGAAATGTATAACCTTTATTTAATAATAATAGTATTTCAAACAGAGACTGTAATAGTAATTCAAACAGATTAGAAACTTGTTTAACTCATGTACCGATAAATTCGGGGTGCCTAGCAGTTCTTCTTGAGGTTTCGGTTACAGTTATGTTCCTAAATGCCAGAAAGGCTCAATACTAGTTCTTTTGTTCAGTTCGGTATTTTTTCAAATATTTTCAATCCATTTTACCAATGTTTGACGTCATAGAGTGGCCTGAGGAATTCGCTATACCATCAAGCAATACCAATCCAAGACTTTTGCCTGTGCCATGTTATTGTTTAAATTCATCAAACACAGACACCTTTGCGAACTTTATTATCATTTCGATGATAATTCGACAAAATAGCCAGAAAAAACGGTCGATGTTTATAATAATATTAGTAAATTAAACTTTGTACTGGGTTCTAAATAAATTTGTTTTAATATACGTAGTAACCTCGCACAAACAATACAATAATAACAATAAATCCAAATTTTAGGAAAACTGCCCCTCGTAGCATTGGTCAACTTTTGGGTTATTGAGATTAAATTAGAAATCAAGCAGAGTAAGAAATCAAACTATAATTGTTTAAAAAAAAACACCAAGTTGTCTTTTGACAACTTTACGAGAGACATGATTTCGTTTATGAAATCAGAAGATATTGTCCTCACTTCATTCAGCCTACTTTATGACGTTATTAGGAGGTGAATTGAAATATGTATTTTTTATAATATAAATTCTATCCTTTATTTTTAAGAACTATTAAAAAAATTATAAGTGAACATTCTTGAAAATGTTTCTAATTCACACTGTCTTATAATTTTCTTAACATACCTAATAGTTGGTCATTAATTAAAAGTAAAAATTTTCCTAAGACATTTTTTTAAATTCATACAAATCTGAATACGTCCGATCTTTTTTGGAACGAAGTTCCTTATACCGTCCGGTACGAATTTGGCGGACGGGAGATAGGCGACAAAAAGTGTAAGATTTTTTTGTCACTACCCCTTGTGTCACAGTGTATTTTATTTTAAACTATCTGGCCAGGCAGACGTTGTTCTGCCCTTTTCGACGACCCTTCATATAAAAAATCCTTAAATTTGTAATAAAAAAATATTGAAGGTCACTTATCGGGATAAAAACTATCCTATCTCTCAAGTTGGACCAAATTGCACACAGTGTGCAAAATTTCATTGAAATCAGTTCAGTAGTTTGGGAGTTCGTCGCGGACAAACAACGTGACACGTAATTTTTATACATAAAGATGATGCTTCATTTTAATAGACGCTAGTAATACATTTATTTGTATTTGTTAATCAATAATATAATGCGTTTATTAATAATAAGGAACTTCGTTCCAACCGAGTGTTCCCGACACTCACGCATGTTTTTTTTTTGTATTAACCAGAATAGTAAAAACTATGGTGCAAGGTTTCATTTTTCACAAACAACTCTCTCTAATATATTGAGACAACTTACCATTGAGGGCAATCAATACAGAATAATAATGTTGGTCTGCCATCTGGATATAATACATTCATTCATCATAGCACATCAAAAATCCAATACATATATTATATGACTCCATTAGATTGCTTCATTGGGGCGAAATTTGCCATAGTTGCCATGTTTGGCAGGCGGTTTGGCAACAACAGCTTATTATTGTTTTAAGTAGTTTTTATTGTTTCGTGTTTTTGAGGAGATGCAAAATTCCTTCTGTAGACTTTTGGAGCTGATGATAAAGCAGTATAATTACAGTTCCTAGGCACTTTTTTGTAGTTTTCATCCGACTTCAAAAAGGAGAAGGTAATCAATTCGACTGGATGTCTTTTTTTATGTGATACATATATTTGGACGCAAAAGAAAGCAAGAAAAAGAAGAAAAACCGGCTAAGTGTGCGGACTCGCGCCTGAATGGTTCCGTACCATCGTAATACACGTTTATAGTAGGGGAGCCCCTTTAATTTTTATTTTTATTATTTGTTGTTATAGCGGCAACAGAAATACACATTCTGTGAAAATTTCAACTGTCTACCTATTACGGATCATGAGATACAGCCGGCTGACAGACAGACGGACGGACGGAGTGACGGTAGGCGGAGGCTTTGTAAAAGGGTCCCCTTGGTTATCCTCCGAGTACGGAACCCTAAAAACCCTAAAATAATATTTGTAAAATACGATAAATATCATCCATTTTGTCCCTAGGGAGCGTTGCGTCAATAGCGTCTGCGACTACCTGTTCGCGATCGATAGCGTGGCCCGAGTTGAGAAACAGACCCTGCGCTATCTGCTATCGTCCGGATATGACGTTATCGCTCCTCTTCTCGTGAGACCGGGCCAGGCCTGGTCGAACTTCTGGGGGGCCATCAACTCGGCTGGCTTCTACGCCCGCTCCGCCGACTACATGGACATCGTTTACAATTCAATCAGGTGAGTCGCTCGATGATGTTTACAACATTTGAATACTTGCCAATGAGGTTAAATAATCTTACGATCACCAGATGTCGCTAGTTGGGACTGAGGTGAAACTTTTTTACACAATGTCATAAAATTGAGCAGTTGCGTTTTAAACAAAAGCTTATTGGTTCCTAGAGTATTGTCTTCCATGCATTCGGGACAACGCCTAGGGAGTAGGAGTATCAGAAAAGACGCGCTAAATCCGATGCCAACTCTGGAGCGCAGGTTCTCAGTACAATTGGCGGGATTCCGTCAGGTCCACTCGACTTGTGGATGTCCACAGGGAGAAGAGTGCTTTGTGTACTGAGCACTGTGAATCGCACATCAGGCACAGATCACTCACACTGCGGGATGGTCGACGGAGTGTGTCTACTTGTTTTGCAATGTCTATTGGTTTCTAGCTTGGTTTATTTATTTCTAATCTAATTGATGAAAAATGTAACTAATACTACTTAAAGAAACATTAACCCTTACATTTTCCTAACACTGCCATGAAATCTGTCAGATATTTCACCTCATTTACGTGGCAAGTGGCGCCGTCCTGGTGGCAAAAAAATCGGAGTCTGGCTGTGTCTAGGACACGGCCGTGTGTTTAACGTGAACATACGTGTCTACGGACGGAACGGAAGAAATTATGTGACGTAACGAAACGACATTCAAAATGGCGGCGCTCCCCCCTACGCCGCGCACATTTTGTCATAGTCTTCACTCAACGTAACGAATTGTTTGATCCTTTTGGCTAAATATCGAGTGGTGTAATGAAATTTTGTATGTAGATAATGGATATGTACCTGCAACATGCTATCCCCCGCTTTTGTTATCATCAGTATTCTCAATTACCTCCTACTATACTTTTAAAGACGTATTTTCGTCAGAAGTAGTAAGTTATTTATTATATCTCCACGTTTAAATTATTATAACGCATGAAAGTGATTCGAATTCGACTATAATATAAATCTATTAAAATTTAAATCTTGGATCGTTATAAAAATATCTCTTTGTACAGAAAGGATATCGGCCTTTATAATCGATTCTGATCATCACCACCATCATCATTACATTTTATACGTGTTAGAGCCATGCTGAGCTATACCTATTAATTGTATAGTTGTAGCACAAATGGGTCGGCTCGACCGGGGAAGGAGCACGCTCTCACAGAATACCAGCGTAAAATAGCAGCTTAATGCTGCTGTGTTTCGTATAGTGAGTGTAGAGAACCGGAGACCCTTTCTACTGGAAAAGAGGCATTCCATCTTAGTCCTCACAACTGACAACGTATCCGCATTTTGATTTGTAAAAGAGGATAGATGTAGATGTCTATGGGCCACAGCAACCACTTACCATCAGGGGGAGTGTGTGCTCGTTTGTCACCCTTATTCTATTAAAAAAGTGACCAGTATAATAAAACGGAGGAAGGTATATCAATCTTGAGTTGTCTTGCTTGCTTGTCACTTGTATCCTATTAAAAAAAAGCCTATTAAAATCCGCTGCTGAATATAGGTATCCCCATAGATTGCCTCATAGGGAAGGATTTTGCCATAGTTGTCACTCTTGGTAGGTGTGTTGGCGACTGGAGTTTGGAGACTAATCACTCCATAACATTCATAGAAATAGGAAGAATAATTTGCCCAGCTGTGGGTCGTAATTAATAATAATGTTCTCCGGACCGAATTTCGGTCACGGCGGCCAGTCTCAACGAAGGCTAGCCATCGGCGCAGGACAGAATTATAGTGCCCGAGTGTATGCGCAAGCACAGGTGCAATCTCTATTCCCTCACTCTCAAAGTCCGATGGGACGGTAAACCGACACGACCGGAGAGAGATATCAGGCGCAGGACTGACGGCTTTACGTACTTTCCGAGACACGGGGGTGAGACACCGTCAGCTTCTTGACTCCGGGCTACTGAGAATTTCATGATAGAAAAACTCAGTAACTGATTTTTTTTGGCCCGACCCGTGATTCGAACGTGGGATTTCATGATCAGCAGCCGCACTACTACAACCACTAGTGTTGCCCAAAATCGGTCTTGGTCTTGCAGTCTTGGTCTTGTTCTTGCATTTGGGCAACACTAACAACCACAGAACGACGCAGTAGTAATTAGGCTGTAACTTGATGTGGAAGCGATGCACCGTACCGATAGAAGAATGAGTCTCGCTATCGATTGAAAACGGATAATTAATTCAAAAACTCTGTATGCCGTAGGATATGTACAGACTGGTGGAGGCGACGTATTACTTACCAACTCTAGGTTTAGAGACAGCACTGTTAACCAGTGTGTGATTTTTTGGCGTATTCACACTATGGCAATATCTGTGTCCGACAACGGGCATTACTCTATTTAACTTTTTGTTATTTTGTTTTAATACAACCAAACATTACGATATGTGGTTGATTTTGTAGATAATAATTGCTTAAAATATCTTAAACACAAGACAAATAAAAAATGCACAAATTATAGGATAACTTTTGAAAAAGCACCAGGTAGGAAAGTTGGTAGTTGTTGAGCTAATTTTTTTTTATAGAATTAGGAAAACAAACAAGCACACAGTCCACCTTATGGTAAGTGGTTGCTGTGGCCCATAGACATCTACATCTATCTTATTTTGCGAATTAAAATGCGGATGCGTTGTCAGTTGTGAGGACTAAGATGGAATGCCTCGTTTCCAGTAAAAAAGTGTCTCCGGTTCTCTACACTCACCATACGAAACACAGCAGCGTTATGCTGCGATTTTACGCTAAAATTAAATAAATTAAATTAAATTAGCCTGTTTCGAGTTTACGCGTAGATGAACGTTTCATCTCGGAGCGTAAAGGGACAGCAGAAGATATGTTGCGTTGATAGTTATGATTGCGACACCAGTTCTAAGTTATTCGCTAAGTAAAAAATTGGCTTGTTGGTGTATAAAATTTTAACTCAACCACTTTCACACTAATTTATTAACGAATAACAAACTAGCATTTATCGATCTTAGATATAGTAATACAAAACAAATTATACTTATGCAAAATAATTATAAAAACTTACAGTCTGTTCGTTGAGAGTTGATAAATATTATGAAAATGTTTCTCAATAGCGACTGTCGCTTATGTATCGCAATCTGTGTGACGTGCGTCGCTAGTCACCGCGAGCACAGTTTCGTGGTGCGAGGCTCCCAGATGTTGTCAAGCGAGAGGCCGCGCGGTCTAGCCATCTACCAGCGAAAATAATTAGCGGGCCGCAATTCGTAATGAGTTTCGGAACCCTGCTTTTTATCAACTCCTGCCGATCAGACTTAATACTAGAGATAAATACTTTCAGTTATTTCTGGTGGTCGATGTACTAATCTGAGCCACCAAATGTAGACATTTTAGCAATTTCTAAAATGTACGGATTATAGGGCATGGTTATTTAGTTTGTACTATCAATACATTATAAGGCTTTTTATTCGATGTTCCTACATATGTCCCGCACAAGATAGAGTACGATCTTGAGTCTGTCTGTTCAGTCGAAGGCGATCGAGAAGTCGGTTTTGAAGGAGCGCCTATCGATAGAGTACATGTTGTCTGCTGTGCATTCGTATACGCCCGCGTCCATCTGTGTTGCCGGGTCTATCTCGATCTTCGACTTCACGCGGTCCTCTCCGATCGGCCACTCGTGAATCTGTGGAGGATAAGATTTTTCTACTATAGTTATCACGTAAATAAGTCTATGTCTATCTTAGGAGTAGCGCCTTGAATAAAAATATTATTGCGGATTTTCTCTTGTTAAATTTTACTTAATTGAATTCCCGAGGCCCGGGTGCTTTGCAACACCTATAGTGACGAAAAACGTCGGGCATTGAATATAAGAAAAATTCGAAGCGACAGTAGCCTAATGGCATGTTGCGGACCGCGAACTCCGAAGATCGTGGGTTCGAATCCGCCTTTTCGACTACTGTCGTGAACCACACCTAGCTAAAATAGTTTTTTTTTATATGTGTAGTAATCGCATAAAGGTTGTGTTAGGAGGTTAAATAATTAAAAAAAACTGCGTGGCAACCGCAGTTTTTTTTTCAGGGTTTCGACCCACCTCCCAAGCATGGTAACTAAGGCGCACCCCCACTGTGAGGCAATCTATGAGGCCGCTGTTCAGCCGTGGACGTGATAGACTCTAATGAATGAAGGCTCCAAGGCAAGGCATGTAGTATATAATTGTGAATAGTCAAAACTCACGTGCAAATAGTGATGTGCAAAGATCTCCACGCCGTCCTTGAACCAAGTGATGTGTGGTCTGGGCGAGCCCTTCGCAATACACAGGAATGCGATCTTGTGTCCCAGAACGTACTCGAGATCGAAGTGCGACGCGAGCACAATTTTCGCACCCTGTAAGGAAAATCAAAACATCAGCTTAGTAACGACATAGGCTTTAGGTCCGGCCACACGAAGCGGATAAATACCGGATAGTTGGTACTTCGTCGACAGAGACGACACTCTATAAATTCAAAGCGAGAACACATCGAATCACTTAACTATTATAGTCGAAAGTCAAAATACGTGGTAGAGCCATGCTTCGGCTATGTTATAGTTGTAACAAAAATGGGTCACCTCAACTAGGGAAGAACCAAGCTCTCACAGAATACCAGCGTAAAATAGCTTAATATTGCTGTGTTTCGTGTGTAGAGATTCGGAGACCCTTTTTAATCGAAACGAAGCGATGTCTCAGAAATTATTGAATTATTGAAATAACCTATTAAGCTCAGGGTTATTTGAATGCTATTCAGACATAAACAACCATTTTTTAAATTTTTGTCTGTTTCTGCTTGTCTATCTGTTCGGGTTGATCGTCGGAATGGCTGAAACGATGGTGATTAAACTTTACGAATAGACAGTGAGTACTGCTAGAACGGATCTAGGCTGTATTTTATTCGAAAGACTTATTAAAAAAAAAAAACGAAAATTTTATAAAAATATTCGTTTTTTAAATGTAAATAACGTCAAAATAATATATTTTACCATGGCAGAGCCGGGGCGGGTCACTAGTTTATTAATGTAACGTTGAAAACTATATATATAACACCCGTTATTGTCATTTTCAGTCATGCTAATGATAGCAACGTTTTTTTTCTGCTAATGTAAAAATCATTATGCCTTGCTAACCGTGTCATAATGCAATAGCATCTGTTATGGAGATCTTTCGAACTGACCCAATGATTGTGACGTGAAATCAGACGCTTTTTCTTATTTCACAGCTACGAGGTATAAATATCGTGTTCTATTAATCATTTATACATAAATTCACGCCTTTCCATCTATAGACCTAGAGGGGTAGGCAGAAACTATGTGCTTACATTTGTCACGATCCTGACACACCTCTCTCGATTCTTTCAAATTCATAATATCTATGCACACGTGCTCGTTGTTTATGCGTAATCTTAATTTAGCCTAACTTAAATATATCGCCGTTTAGACTCAATATTAATATCAATAGTAGTTATTATATTATTGATATTAATATTGTTAATGTCTCAATCAAAGACGGTGATCATTTTCATTCTGCCTTGAACTAAAACTTGAAATATAAATGAAATAAACCGTAGTGAAGATCGCACGCTGGTTACCAAAGTACATTCGATTAGACCTAATGGTTCGTCGTGACCCTTATGAAGAAATAGTTATTCGGATAGGCCAATTCACGAGCGCCCCCTCCTGTTGACTTCGCGTACTTCGCAACAGCGGACGTTAGGCGATTTGTCTCTAAAACAAGTTGCTACACGGCTAGTGATGGAATAAAGCGCGAGCGCCAGCGATAGCGGAACAATACAGAGTCGCATAGTCATGTTTGCAAGGTTTTAATTTATTTTATAATACATAATGTCCTCCAGACTGAATTTAAGACTTAAGATGTTTCCAGTAAAATGGGGTCTCTGTTACTCTACGCTCACCATAGAAACACAACAGCGTTATGCTGCTATTTTACGCTGGTATTCTGTGAGAGCGTGGTGATACCCTGGTAGAGCCCACCTGCCGATCTTAATATAGCTGCAGCGTGGCTCTATCGCGTATTAAAAAAAATAAAATTGCAATTGAAAAGTTCATTCGTGCCAATATGAAACGCATCGCCATTACCATATATATACATTACACTATAATATTTCCGGTACTGAAATTGATGTCGACTTACTGTGTAACTCGGTAACATATTTTCTTTTTCATTACGTCATGATTAGAATAGTTGTTGGCAGTATAAGAAAAGGAAACAAACAAGACGGTCAGTAGCAATTATTTACTAACAATTAAAAATAAAAAAAAACTGCGGTCGTTCACCCGCATGCCAAGCGAAGCAACTGTGACAAATATCCACCCTGTAACGCAATCTATTGGGGTGGCCTATGTTCAGTCAGTTCACATAATAGATTATAATATATTATAGAATTCGCATAAGCCTTAAGTCAAGTTTACTGTTAATATATTATGACAATAACTTTAAACACATTTATCACATTTCATACCAATAAATACACCTACACGATAAACCATAATATAATATCCAAATCACGACAAATCGTAAATAAGCAAAAAAATAACACGCTTTGTTTCGTAAACTAAGTAATAAAATATCCAACAACTGTTCGGTTAATATTAATTTATGTTTATTATGTCTTAGTTGAAGCACAACGATAACAGTTTATGTATTTGCTCCCGCCCAGGTCGCGGTGGCAGTAGGGTTGCCAGATTGAGAGATCAAAATCTCAGGACAATATTCTGAAATAGCTTGTCAATATTATTTTCGAGTGGACAAAATAAATATCTGTATTAATCAACATATACTTACCTAGGTATATTACGTAACTAAATCTAAATCATTGTATGATTTCTTACCCTTAGTAGTTAGTAGAATTTGCAATTTTTATTGATATTAGTATAGTTACCAAACATTCAAGATTAGGTTTAACAGCAGATTTTTGAATCTTAAAACCTAGCAGAGATTAGGTATTTTCGTAATTTAGGCTTTGCACTCTGTTCACTCATTTAAATTGGTTTATATAAGAAAATACTGGAGACTACCGACATACCACGCATTTCAACCAAACTATTTGCTACTTCGTTAATAATACGTACCGAAAAGTGGAGTGTAATGATTTGCCAGCATCTGTGTTTCCATCTGATTATAATCTACGTGTATTCAAAAGTGAATAGCCTTTTATACACTATCGTGAATATTTATTATATTTTGCTTTCGTCGCTGGCAACACTTCAGAGTCAGTAAAATTGCAAGAGCTTTGTTTAGCTGTATATTTAAGTACATGAAACTAAATATAATTTGTGTAACATTCGCACGTGCGTTTTATTTATAAACGGCTGCAGTACGCTTGCGGTCTACGGACGTGAACTTTACCACGGATCGTTAACCTGGACTGTGTGTTTTCAAATAGATCTAGGAAATTTGTAAGCTGCCAAGCGTTGTTGCTGCTAAAGGCGTTAATTATAAAGAAGGCACAATAATTTGCCAGTTCAAAATACCAAGTGAAACATTTTTATATCTCTATATATAAATATTATGTGTCACATTGTTTGTCCGCCATGAACTCCGAAACCATTGAACCAATTTTTATGAAATTTTGTAAATGTGTTAGCTTGCACCAAACTTGAGAGATAGGAAAATAGTTTTTAGCCCAGTAAGTGACCATCAATATGTTTTATCGCGATTTTAAGAATTTTAAAGGACAAAGGGTTGTCGGAAAGAGCGGAACAAAGTATCACGTATATAATAGTTGGTTCGTTAATTACTGTATAGTTGTGATGTAAGAATATCCACTACCCCATAACATCCCGTGGGTGTCGTAAGAGGTGACAGAGATAAACACATCAGGAGATGGCCAGCGGCGTCTTTCCAATAATGACTAAAAATAAAAAAAACTGCGGTTGCCAACCCGCTTGCCAAGCGTGGCAACTATGACAAATATCCTCCTTATGAGATAATATATGGGGGAGGCCTTTGTTTAGCAATGCACTTTAATAGATTTTTTTCTATTCTATTTCTATTCTATTCTATTTTAATTGACTGTAGCGGTAACAACGTCCGTTAGTGAACGTGTAACTTCTGGACCACTTGACTGATTGAGGTCATATTCACACAATGTTTTTATTTTTTATTTTGTCGAGACGATGGTTCATAGCTATGTTAGGAGGCGATAGGTAGCACGTGTGGTTGCGTTATTATATTTGCACTAAAAAGTCCGCAGCGCATTCAGAGTGAAACTCATCAAGCCAAAAGACATAACTAAAATTAAAAATTATGAAAATACTCGAAACAAAAAGGGTTGATAATCTTTAAACCAATACCTAACAACACTCTCGATTTAGCCTTTCAAACAAAAAAAAACTTAATCAAAATCGGTTCATCCGTTCAGGATCTACGATGCTACAGACGGACACGCAGATACATATATACACAGATACATACTACAAACATATAACACCCGTCTGTTTCCGTCGGAGGTTAAAAATGACGTTAGTCTAGCCAGCTAGTTTCAATATAAAATAAACTTTTGTAATGTAGGTAGTTAAAATGGGATGAAATGGGTAAAGGTCAATGAGATGAACAGAAGCATCTTCGTGGTGATGGCAAATGGTAACTTAAAATGATATGAACTTCAGTTGCCAAACCGCCTGCCAAGCGTGGCAACTATGGCAAATATCCAACCTGTGAGGCCATCTATGAGCAAGGCCTATGTTTAGCAGTGGTCTTTCTATAGGATGTAACGAACGAATGATAAATAAATTGAGAATATTTGTCATCGAATGACCAGTGCATTTGCATGGTCACTTGGACCAGAAAGCTAAATTTGCTACTAAAAAGTTTGGCGTACTCAATAGAGCGGGACAGTATTTCATGCCTGCACATCGTTTGCAACTTTACAAGCGCAGGCTCGGCCTCACATGGAATACTGTTCTAATCTCTGGGCCGGGGCTCCCCAGCGAGCTGCTTCCAATTGACTGCATAGAGAACAGAGCGGCTCGAATCATCGACGACCGAGTTCTCTTTGATGGCTCGATTCACTGGCGCTAAGTAGGGATGTTGCATCCCTTTGCATTTTCTATCGTATTTACCACGGAGAGTGCTCTGTGAAATTGTTCGGATTAATTTCAGCCACCAAATTTCACGAACGCACATTGCGACTTAAGCTTACGTTACCATCCACATCATTTGGATTCTTGGCGGTCCACTACCGTACGATTTATTAGGAGTTTTCTTAGGAATCGTTTACCATCGGTGTTTTTTATGGACCGATATGACTTAGGGACCTTCAAGAAACGAGCCTACTCCTTTTTAAAAGGCCGGCAATGTATCTGCATATCTCCTGATTTTGTATAATTTTCTTAAAATTTTAAAAAGAAGGTTATCTTGTTGACTGCTTTACTGGTTATACTGGTTGTACCGGCTGACATAGTTACGTTAAAACCAACGGCCGTGTGCCCCGACACAGGTCCACCTGATTTCTTTATTGGTATGGGCACAGTATCGTCTACTGTTTCACCTCCTTAAATATTGTAGATCTGCATCCTGTATAATATTTTTTATCTATAGCACATTTGGTGACGTTACTGGATAACAGATGACGCTTATTATAATAATGATAAATGTTCTAGAACAATCTACCAGAAATAATAAAAACTAAAAATTATGGGGTAAATATATATTATACTTGCGATAATAAACCGAACTCACGTTCAGTTTTTGCTATATAACGGGTCTTACAATACATATTTTCTTTAAAAATATATATTTTTTTTAATTTAGGAAACGTATGCGTCTTGAGCTTCTGATGATGTCACTAAGACTAAATGACACAAATCCGAAATATATGCTATAGGACATAAGTAAGACGTGACCATTTTGTTACTGTCTGTTACTACTACTAAATGTCTCTGAGTAGAACATTCTACGCGCTTTGCGCTTAAGGCATGCAATAATTACTCTGTGTGGAACCCGTCTTAGATTTTGTTTCCACGCCTTATACCTTACAGTCTACTGATTGTAAGGTATAAGGCGTGAAATATGCATTAAAAAAGAACGCACCAATTACGCTTTTTTGAAGTCGGTTAATTGATAATCATAATTTGCTATACAGCGTCAGTTTCACTAACAAAATTTAATAAAGTAACTTTAGAAGTGTCTTATATATTTGTGACGGCGCGGCTTAACGAATATTACGTTACGGTGTGTAAGCCCGAAATTTTTTTCAAAAAGTTGCAAGTTATAACTTTTTTTCAGTTTTGGCGGGAATTTAATCGGGTTTGGATTGCTGCTCCCGTGTTATTGTTTAAATAATGGTTTGAAGTAAATTTCGATACGTAAAAGTGATGCTATTTTGTGAATTAGATGTCTGTGCATGTGAACTATTAGAGGAAACGATAAAATAAGTATTTCGATGGTGACTATTACACAGTCCACCAGATGGTAAGTGGTTGCAGTGGCCCATAGACATCTACGTTTATCCACGTTTACGAATCAAAATGCAGATGCGTTGTCACCCGTGAGGACACTAAGATGAAATGTCTCTTTTCCAGTAATAAGGGTCTCCGGTTCTCTACACTCACCATACGAAACACAGCAGCTTTAAGCTGCTATTTTATGCTGGTATTTTGTGAGAGCGTGGTCCTTCCCCGGTCGAGCCGACTCATTCGTGCTACAGCTATACTACTAATATAGCTGCAGCATGGCTCTACCACCATAAATGCTTTTTTTCTTTTATACTTGATACTGGCAATAGTATAAGAATCCATTACTAAAGAAAAAAAACTTTTTTTACTCACATCGTTATTGTTGTAGTACTGGTCCGACTCGGGGTCTCTGTACTTGCCGGTGATGGGCAACCCGATTTGTACCTGTTGATGAGAAATAAAATTTGATTTTTTTTTCACAAATGCCCAATTTTCACTAAAATCACCTTCCCCGTCCTCACCTTTGATTTAGTTCTACTTCTCGCTCGTCCGCGTCGCGATTCCACGGCGCTGAGGACCAGCGCAATTATAAGTATTGAGAGCATGCACCTTGGCAACATTTGGTTGGAGGTTCTGTCTCGAACGATGCGTCTAGTCAGTCGCCTCAGTCCATGGGAATGGCGGTCCCGCGGCTCGCGGAGTACTGTCGGGCTGTTGTCGCATATTCAATTGATTAATGGCGGTTGATCCCGAATGAGGGACCCCGTCACCCCAGTGACGTGGTGTCAGCAATTTGTTTCGCGATTCTGTCGACGCTTCGAATTGGCGGGCAATTTGAGCTTGATCGGAGGTAGGTCATAGTTAACACCGGCCACTTGTTTTGCCAACTCTTCTAGAAATTTCAGTGACAAGAAAGTGATCTATTAGAGTTTGTCCTAAGATACGTATTGTATACATAATTTTTTAAAGGTTTAAATTACTGGCGAGTTGCTCTTTGCGTATTATTTACTTTTGCGAAATTATGACAAAATCGTTTGTCTAAGATTGTGTTCACTTTTGTTTAATATATTTTCTAATACATTTTCCTACTGTTGTCACCATAATGATGTCAACATAATCAAACGGGTAGTGACGATGTAAATATATCTACTACTGCCCCTATATCATTCCAGTAAGAGGCGAAAGAGTGAAACTGAAACGGGAAATGTACAGCATCATAAAAACACAAAGTAATAAGATACTGCTACTGCCAACCCGTTTGCCAAGCGTGGCAACTATGGCAAACTCCCCTCTATAAGGCAATCTATGGCGAAGGCCTATGTTCAGCAGTTACTTTTATAGGCTATAATGGATGAAATAGATGGATGTCATCATAATTAGGCCAGTAATTATATTTCAAAAATCGATTCGAATAAACTCTTGTGATAACCGTTCTTGGCTGATAAACTGTGCCCCGCGTTTGATAACCTTTGATTGTAACTATTCTTTTACTCAAATATATATAACTTAAAATTATTGTGTATTTTTTAATATACCCACATCAACATAATCTTATAGTTTAAAATCTTTTCAGTTTCCATAAAAAGTTTATATACACATTTAAATCTCTTTTATTCTATTTTCAAAATTTAAAAATGTAAATAAAAAAAGAAACAAAAACGGCGGCAAAATTGTTAGTAATTCGTTATGTAAAGGAATATTAAAATTGTTCTACTGGTATTAATTAAGGAAAAGGGATTAGATTGTTTTTCTTTTTTAATTGAACGTTCCGTGTGAGCTTTAAGAGTCATGTCACGTCGTCATTTGAGTCGAGGTGAAATGTTACGAGCCGTGGGGATGTTAGAAAGAGGTGCTATGCAACGCGTCGTTGCTGAGGCCCTACACATCAGCCAAAACGTGATATCAAGGTTGTGGTCAATACCGTGTTACTGTACAGAGACAGGATCGATTTTTCCAAATGATTGCCAGAAGACAACCCACTATCACAGCAATGCAACTACTAAAAAGACTCCAGGAGGACTACCAGCTGCTGGTAAGCGACTAAACCGTGCGAAGTAAGGTTGGTCTTTATGCTCGAAGACCGCTACGTGTACCATCATTGCGAGGTGCCAATCGCGGTCGGTGGGTATTGTGGGCTTGGGAGCATTTACCATGAAATGACGAACAATGGTAGTGCTGTTCATCGATGAGTTTCGGTTTGGGTCTCATCCGGATTTACGAAGAACACGCGTTTGGAGAAATCCAGGGAGAGTTAGCCGTTTACGGTACCCTCAGGAGGTCCGCTCATACGGACGGACCCAGCTCGTTTGGATCCAAAGCGGCATGACTGCACAAAATACCACGAGGGAAGCCTGTTATTGTCCCACACAGAATCCAAATGGGCCAGGAATTTATAAGACTTTTTCACTTTTAATTAAAAAAAATTATTAGACGAAGTTTTTTTTTATCATACTAATTTTCAACGGCAATTAAAAAATTAACATTTTTATAAAAAAAAAAACGAAATGATTTCTATTTTTTATAGGCCTTAACCATAGATTACCTCCTAGGGGGTAATCTGTGGCCTTAACATAACCTATTGTTCTTCTATTTACTATATCAGAAAATTCTTCATAGATTTTTAGATATTTGATGAAATATAAAATATTCCTAGATTCTGTTGATGTGTTTATATATTCACCTATCATATCATAATACCATGTATTTAGTTAAATTTGTCTACTGCAATCTAATGGTGTCGGAAGTAATGGTAGCCCATAGACACTCACAATTTAGGATAAATGTGTCTGTGGGCCACCATTTCTATCGACACCATTACGACACTAAATACATAGTATTTTTATGATATGTAAGGGGAATATATTTAACAAATACACAATTTTAAGCTATTATATGTATATATTTATATAAATCATGTCATATGGTGAGTGTAGAGAAGAACCGGAGGCCCTTTTTACGTTAAAGTAGGCATTTAATCCTAGTTTTCAACGGTGACAACGTTCTGCATTTTGATGCGTAATCTAGGATAAATGTAAATCAAAATGCAGAGAGTTGTCCCTTGAGGACAAAGATAGAATGAATGCCTTATTACCAATGAAAGATATTTCACGTTCACGTTCATTCTGCTATTTTACGCTTGTATTCTGTGAGATTCTGCTATTTCACGCTGGTATATTCTGTTCGAGCGTGTTCCTTCCCGGTCGAACCGACCCATGAGTGCTGCAAGCGTATTCAGCGTGGGATTACCATCTGAATGGTATTGTGATATGTTTCTTTTACCAATATTGTTACCAAAATCTCCAGTTATATGACCAGCATGGGTATGGAGCAAGAATAGTTTATAGATATAATCAATATTGGGCAACAAGGCGTTGAAGAGGTGACTCTTTATCGTCGCTTCACGCATTAGGACTAAACTTTATGTCCAGTGTGACCAGTCGTTTTCTCCATAAAATGTTTTTTTTTATAGTTTACAATAACATTACAAAGTTATAGTTCAGCTAGTTTTAGGTCAATTTCTAAGGAGAGAAATGTTTACTAATACCAGTGCATTTTATAAGTTGGTCGACTAATTAACTTCTTAATGTACATATTATATACTACTATTGCGTACACTTTTCAAATTTCCAAAAACAGCGGTTTAGTTGGTAGAGGGGGGGGGGGGCACGTGACTAATGAAAAATACCACTTTAAAGCTAAATATTTCGCAAACGGACTCCCGAATCGAAAAAATGTTGTTCCACACCCCCAGTGTTTTTAAAAGACCTATCCAACGATGCCGCACACGTTGGAATAGACGGGTAAAAAAAAATCATCCGCCATTTACTTGTATGGGAGGTACCTACCTACCCAAAATAAAAATAAAGTTAAGATTTTTTTTCACAGTTTTGTAAGCGTAATTAATATTTATAATTATGCCAAATCACCGATTTGTCTCTGAGTAAAACCGCGAACTGACGGACGGACGGATGGACATAAAGAAGAGGGTTCCTTGTTGTGTAACTACGGAGCCCTAAAAATGGCTCAACCGCTATTGATAAAAAAATTGTGTGTATTTGAATAGGTCCCTAGATGGTTTAGATTTTTAGATAGAGACATTTGGACCCGGTAGTTGGCGCTGTTGTCGAGATCTAGAAATCAACCGTGCGAAGCCGCGGCGGGTCTCTAGTACCTGATAAAAAAAATGCGATTGTCTGTCTATCAATCGTGGAAACAATAGCAAATGTCCTCCTTATTAGGCAATCAATGACACCTACGTTTACTCCTGTAATCAAAATAATCATCATTACGGCCCATCACAAGTCCACTGCTGAACATATGCCTTCCCAAAAAATACCACATACATGGTCCTGAGCGACCTGCATCTTTGAACTTTCTGCATTTCTTACAAGGTCGTCACTACATCAAGTGGGACTTGAGAACCTTTCCAATGAGTGAATGAATTCATAAAACTGGAAGGAACGTGTTAATAAGCTGAATTGGCAATGGGCCGGCCATATAGCTCAAAGAACCGACAATCGATGGGGAAGAAAGGTTCTCGATTGGCGGCTTACCGGTAGACGAAATGTAGGGCGGCCCCCACTAGGGATGTGCAAGTGAAAGAAACATATCGATTTATTAACAGTTACGTAAAGTATCGATATATATCGCGTGATGAATATCGATATATTATCGTCATGTTTTGCATGCTGTACTAGGCCCAAAATTTTATTACTGACGATATGTATTTTATACGTGGTAGAGCCATGCTGCAGCTGTATTAGTAGTATAGTTGTAGCACGAACGGGTCGGCTAGACCGGGGAAGGACCACGCTCTCACAGAATACCAACGTAAAATAGCAGCTTAACACTGCTGTGTTTCGTATGGTGAGTGTAGAGAACCGGAGACCCTTTTTACTGGAAAAGAGGCATTCCATCTTCGTCATCATGGGTGACAACATATCTGCATTTTGATTCGCAAACGAGGATAAATGTAGATGTCTATGGGCCACAGCAACCACTTACCACTGGTGGCACAGATGGACTGTGTGCTCGTTTGTCACCCTATCCTATAAAAAAAACTATACTCTACACGTATACTCTAATATTTTCAATCGCGATATATATCGATATTTTTATATGAAGATATCAATACTTTTTACCAAGCCTAGCTCAGGACCGTGCTTTGTGGCGTTCCTTAGCTAAGGGGAGGCCTATGTTCAGCTGTGGAATTTTGAAAGGCTGTAATGAATAAAACTGGTTGAGTTTAGTTCTAAAAATCCATTTCCGGTTAATTCTGCCTTACATATTGACTTAAGTGTTTTTAATTTTTGACAGGGGCATATGGAACGTACCCTTCATCACCAACTGTTACCTGATGAAGATAGAGTTATTCCGCACGCCGGCAGCCAAAAGTGTCACCTACTCCAAGGAAGAAGTCGACCCTGATATGGCCTTCTGCGCAAGTCTGCGGGATCTCGTAAGTAGTTTCATCCAATGCTAATATTGTTGTTGAAAAAATATTAGGATCAATTATTGAAACAGAAACAGAAACTTTTTAATTCAATATAGATTATTAATAATATTTATTGAAAGTCACTCTTGTTTAATTACCACTGGTTCGAAAAAATCCTCTGTCCTGGGAAGAACCAGCAAGATACCCAGCGGGACTTTTTTTTAAATAACAGCTTACAATTATGTAAACACAATTAAGCACACAAAACAAATTAGAAATAGCTTGATAGCGATCTATTCATTCCCAGGGGTTATTATCATCCATAAATTCCTTAATATTATAATAACCCTTCTTATACAAACTTTGTTTAATAAAGCAGGTCAATTTTTTTTATATATAGATTTTATCGCGAAAAAATTTGACTTATATTTCGTCGGGAATTAAAAACAAAACAAATTAAACGCGATAAAATCGGTAAAATTGGTTTCATTCAATGTATTATATCCGTGTACCGTGTACTTGGCGATGTAAGAATCCCCACAATTCCATATCGTCCCGTTTGTGACGTACGCAGTCAGCAGCATCTTCCTGATAACAACTGAAAATAATAAATAAAAAACTGCGGTTGCCAACCTGCCTGCCAAACGTGGTGACTGTGGCAAAATTCTCCATACGAGGCAATCTATACGAGAGGACTATGTTCCGCAGTGGATTTTTATAAGCTTTAAATTTAAGAAATGAATTAATCTTTACAGGGTATCATGATGCATGTCAGCAACGAGCGGGAACTTGGTCACCTGGTTAATCCGGAGACCTTTGACATCACGCGGACGCACCCGGATGTTTACCAAGTCCTAGACAATAAGCTGGAGTGGGAGAAACGATACCTGCATGTGGATTACGCTGTTAACTTCGAGGAGGGACGCGAACATCTTATGGTAAGTTTTTTTTAAAAATATAAGTGTGGGCAAACGAGCTTACGGCTCACCTGATGATTTTATACGTGGTAGGGCCATGCTGCAGCTATATTAGTAGTATAGTTGTAGCACGAATGGGTCGGCTCGACCGGGGAAGAACCACGCTCTCACAGAATACTAGCGTAAAATAGCAGCTTAACATTGCTGCGTTTCGTATGGTGAGTGTAGAGAACCGGAGACCCATTTTACTGGAAAAGAGGCATTCCGTCTTAGTCCTCACGGCTAACAACGCAATTGCATCGCAAACGAAGATAGATGTAGATGTCTAAGGGCCACAGCAACCACTTACCATTAGGTGGACTGTGTGCTCGTTTGTCACCCTATCCTATAAAAAAAGTAACTACCACCGCCCATGAACAACTGCAACACCAGGGTAATTGCAGATGCGTTGCCGGCCTTTTAAAAAAGAGTAGGCTCTTGAAGTTTAAGTGTCGAAGTTGTGAGCCAAGAATAGGATTCGTCGCATGGAGGCTAAAGAAATTGACTGGCTGAACTGTTAGCCAGCTTCAACGTAGATGTTTTTGTTGTCGCTACTAAAATAGGCTGGTTTTGAAATGTGTGACTGAGACACGAAATTCCGATCATTTCGCGATCTATATCAACGTTCTCGCTATTGCCGCTAATACGTCAGTTTTAATGCAAGTTATCATGCGCGTAAAGAATAGGTCTAATGAACTGACTATATTGTGTAGGGTGTGCAAAAAAAACATTATTTAAACATTTCTTTTTACTTAAATTGAATTTTTTGCATGAATTGCATGAATGTCATATCACGTAATAATGGTATACTAGTTGCCGTAGTTGGTCAAAATTCGACCCTAATTCATTAAATTTTACGCACTATATAGGCTTTAATCTAGGGTGACAAAATTGGCTCCGTATGACTGTTTGATAAACTTAAACAATTAATGTTTTACTATATTTATTCGTAACACATATTCTGCACTTCTACATATGAATTTTAACTATGACAAATCTCACACACCTGCGTGCGCGTAATATGCTTAAAAAGGGGTACAAAGATTTTTCTACAAAAATTAATGTTCGTATGTAGACTTCTTGTGCGTTATTATATGTGAATTGTTCAGTTCATACATATGACCTCTTAATTTTCATATGACCATAGCTATATCGATTTCTGACTTGTTCGATTTTTATGACAGCCATGTCCCGACGTATATTGGTTCCCGATGATGTCGATGCGCTTCTGCAATGAGTGGATAGCGATCATGGAGGCCTTCGGCCAGTGGAGCGACGGTTCGAATAACGTAAGTATTTTAATATGCAATATTAATTAACGAGCATCTTTCCTATTATATTTAATTTTTTATCTTTTTTAGCTTTTTTCCATCATGGCATTTTGAACATCTTGGACTTGAAATGAAAACAACATGTTCTGTGAAAATTGGTATATTTTCAGCGCAGTTCTTGAACCGATTCATTGCGGATAGCACTCCAGGCGTGCCATGAGTTACATTTTAAAAATCGTTGATAACTCGATCAAATTGCGTTTTCGAGAGATTTATCCTAAACAAAATATTCCTTATTTTGCAAGTAGTTCATGCCTACAGCTTCGTTTCTGGATATATTTTTTTATAGGATAAGGGTGAAAAACGAGCACATAGTCCACCTGATGGTAAGTGGTTGCTGCGGCCCATAGACATCTACATCTATCCTCGTTTGCGAATCAAAATGCAGATGCGTTGTCACCCGTGAGGACTAAGATGGAATGCCTCATTCCCAGTAAAAAGGGCCTCCGGCCACCTGCACTTACCAAGCGAAACGCAGAGGTAAACCTCTACTTAACGCTGGTTTTCTGTGAGGTCGTGGTACCACCCCGGTTCGAGCCGGCCCATCCGTGTGACAGCAAAAGCTGCCGCGTGGCTCTACCACTGTTGAAAATCCATTGTCAAAAAGGTTGTCAATCCCTAAAAATTTAAAATTTTTAGGGATTGACAACCTTTTTTAACTTGTAGATGGTAACTCTTTTTACTGTGTGGGTTTTTTAAATTATTTTGTGGAAAAATATTCTAATAAGTAACAAATAATAGCACTCATTTCGATCACACACAAACTCAAGTTGTAAACAAGTTTCTGGAAAACAAGTCTACTGTTAAAAAAAACAATACGTGTGTCGTGTCTTGTTGTTTATTATGGTTCAACCATTTTGCTTAAAATGGTTGAACTGCTGTCTTATTACCATCATATGGCCGAATGGACCTACGAAGTACCATGTGCTCTTGTGATATTGTATAAGGTTTCTTTTTGCTTGAAACAGTTCGAACGCGTTCATGCTTAAAAAAGTTTGCTAATAAATAATCTTTTGTTCATTCACCGCCGTACAGCGCCGGCGCATCTGGCTATTGTTTTTTCCTTTTGAAAACACTAGTTTTGTTATTATTAATTAGTAATTAGACATTTTCAGATCGACTTTACTTTTACATTTGTATTTATTAAATAATATATAACATTTTTAATCAATCAATCATCAATGAATTAATTTTTTTCCAAATTAAGGTTCTTGATTTTTTGTTATTTACAAACGTTATTATTAGGTGAAATTTTAATTTAATAAAAACCAAGGTTTTTCAGGGTGATTTAGCTGTTCCTACTTATATAAATGATTTTTTTTGTAAAACAAAAAATAGTACAAAAGGTTTGTAATCTCTGCATAAAAAGTTACTTGCTCTCAATTTGAAGGAAAATACGTAGAAAAACACGTAGGTAGCCACTAAAAACAAGTAGTAAAAGCAAAAAAAGAACATTATTATACACATGGCGCTTGACACGACAGGCGTGTCACAAAATATTTGTTTTAATTTTTATTAGAATATTTCTCTCTGTCGCCTCTTATGACACCCACAGAATAAAAATTCTGTCGGAACGAATCGGTTAAACTAGTATTTTTGATTGTCTGTGTCGACTGGGGGGACTTGGGGGGTCTACTTAATCCATCGTCTAGATGAATTACAATAGGGTAGTTGTCACTTAGTCAAGCGAAATACTTTTAAAAAGTTGTCAATAGGATACATTTAGCCCATAGAGGGGACTTTTTTTTAACTTTATATGGTATAGTTACGTCACATAGAATTGCCACAGTATTTTTGTGATAGTATTAGTGATCGAGAACTTCATATGGACTTGCTTAAGCATCTATTAAATTTATTATTACTCTACTAGATGAATCCATTTTACTGGTAATGAGGCATTTTTTTAAATGTTAATGGAGGATAGATGTAGATGTCTATTAGCCACAGCAACCACTTACCATCAGGTGGAAAACATGCTAGTTTGTCATTCTTATTTTTTTAAAATAAGCACACCTGTCTATATATTAATTGTTAATCTTATTATATATCTAAATCTTCAAACCTAATCTTAATAAAAAGAAGAATCTTTCTGTCTATTCCAGGACAAGCGCCTAGAAAGCGGCTACGAGGCAGTTCCCACCCGTGATATTCACATGAGCCAAGTTGGTCTGGAGCGTCAGTGGCTGCATATCCTGAAGGAGTACGTCCGTCCTCTACAGGAGATGGTCTTCATTGGCTACTACCATAACGTAAGCGAAGCTGTCTTTTTCGTAATCATCAATCGGAAAAATTCTACTTCTCCACACAGTCCCCTCCCATTGTAGGGGAAAATTTGCCTAAGACACGCATAGCAAAGGAATTGACGATTACAGTACCAAATGTTCGCGTCTCTCCAAATGATATATTTTTATATTCAACACACATACGGTACTCAACATATACGGCACTAAATATTTTCAACCTACTTTACTCAACACACGTACGATACTGCACACACTCAGCATACGTACGTTATGCAACATTTTCAACCTACTTTACTCAACACACATACGTTACTCAACATTTTCAATCTACTTTACTCAACACACATACGTTAATCAACATTCTCAACCTACTTTACCCAACACACATACGTTACTCAACATTCTCAACCTACTTTACTCAACACACATACGTTACTCAACATTCTCAACCTACTTTACTCAACACACGTACGATACTTCACATACTCAATATACGTACGTTATGCAACATTTTCAACCTACTTTACTCAACACACATACGTTACTCAACATTCTCAACCTACTTTACCCAACACACATACGTTACTCAACATTCTCAACCTACTTTACTCAACACACATACGTTACTCAACATTCTCAACCTACTTTACTCAACACGTACGATACTTCACATACTCAATATACGTACGTTATGCAACATTTTCAACCTACTTTACTCAACACACATACGTTACTCAACATTTTCAATCTACTTTACTCAACACACAGACGTTATTCAACATTCTCAACCTAATTTAATCAACACACGTACGATACTTCACATACTCAACATACGTACTTTATGCAACATTTTCAGCCTACTTTACTCAACACACATACGTTACTCAACATTCTCAACCTACTTTACTCAACACACAGACGTTACTCAACATTCTCAACCTACTTTACTCAACACACGTACGATACTTCACATACTTAACATATTACGTACGTTATGCAACATTTTCAACCTACTTCATTCAACACACATACGTTACTCAACATTCTCAACCTACTTTACTCAACACACGTACGATATTTCACATACTCAACATACGTACGTTATGCAACATTTTCAACCTACTTTACTCAACACACGTACGATACTTCACATACTCAACATACGTGGTTTTATACGTGGTAGAGCCATGCTGCATCTATATTATGGTTGTAGCACGAATGGGTCGGCTCGACCGGGGAAGGACCACTCTCTCACAGAATACCAGCGTAAAATAGCAGCTTAACGCTGCTGTGTTTCGTATGGTGAGTGTAGAGAACCGGAGACCCTTTTTACTGGAAACGAGGCATTCCATCTTGGTCCTCACGGGTGACAGCGCATCTGCATTTTGACTCTTAATCGAAGATAGATGTAGATGTCTATGGGCCACAGCGACCTCTTACCATCAGGTGGACTGTGTGCTCGTTTGTCACCCTTATCCTATTAAAAAGAAAAAAACGTACGTTATACAACATTTTCAACCTACTTTACTCAACACACGTACGATACTTCACATACTCAACATACGTACGTTATGCAATATTTTCAACCTACTTTACTCAACACACGTACGTTACTCAACATTCTCAACCTACTTTACTCAACACACGTACGATACTTCACATACTCAACATACGTACGTTATGCAACATTTTCGACATACTTTACTCAACACGCATACGTTACTCAACATTCTCAACCTACTTTACTCAACACACATACGTTACTCAACATTCTCAACCTACTTTACTCAACACGTACGATACTTCACATACTCAACATACGTACGTTATGCAACATTTTCAACCTACCTTACTCAACACACATACGTTACTCAACATTTTCAATCTACTTTACTCAACACACATACGTTAATCAACATTCTCAACCTATTTTACTCAACACACAGACGTTATTCAACATTCTCAACCTACTTTACTCAACACACGTACGATACTCAACATTCTCAGTGCTTTACTCGACACATACCTTTCTCAACATTCTCAACCTACTTTACTCAACACACGTACGATACTTCACATACTCAACATACGTACGTTATGCAACATTTTCAACCTACTTTACTCAACACACATACGTTACTCAACATTCTCACCCTACTTTACTCAACACACGTACGATACTTCACATACTCAACATACGTACGTTATGCAACATTTTCAACCTACTTTACTCAACACACGTTATTCAACATTCTCAACCTACTTTACTCAACACACGTACGATACTCAACATTATCACTGCTTTACTCGACACATACGTTTCTCAACATTCTCAACCTACTTTACTCAACACACATATGTTATTCAACATCCTCAACCTACTTTACTGAACACACGTACGACACTCAACATTCTCACTGCTTTACTCGACACATACGTTTCTCAACATACTCAACCTACTTGACTCAACAACATACGATAATCAATATAATCAATGTACTTCACTCAACCCATCAACATTTACCCATTGAGCTATTATGTACTACCTACTAGCGGCGGCACTGCATTTAGTTACGCTGTCCCATTCAACTGCGGCGATATCGCCGCACTTTACTCCGTCGTTCGCTAGGCGCTAGTGAGTTGACACGTGTTGTGTAGATTATATAAAAAAAAAATCTTGATAGAAAATACCAAGGAATAACTTTTCAACGGTGAGTAAGATATTTAATGAATAAAAAAGTATTATAGATTAATAATCAAACAAATTATTCTAAACAAGACGCCATTTCGGTTGATGAAATATAGGTTATGAAATTGATTTGTTCAGATGTGACGTTTCTGTAGGTACTAAAGTGTGGGAAATAATATGCACATTTTTCTTGTAGAAACAAATAAAAGTATTGATGATCAGCCTAAATTTCTGATATTTAAATTTGCGGATTATCCTTTTATTTTATTTTTAGGTTTCCACATCCAAGCCATGAAAACAGGGAAAAGTGGAATAAATTCCTCCATTTTTAACTTTCGCGTGCATTTAACTATTGAGAATATACTTTTATGAACGACTCTTATTCTAATCTAAATAAATATATTTGTAAATTAAATGTTATATCAATAAGTTTTGTTAAACATACATTTAGTATGTTTTTCATATTGTACATAGTTAGCTTTTAAAATATTAGTACATAGTTACCTTATAAAATGTAATTCCTTTATAATATTATGTAATATTATATTAAATTAGCACATATAATATGCAAAATAATAACACCTTTTAAAAATTGTACTCGATATAATTTACGTAATTAACAATACAATCTATTATTACATACTGATCATTCTGCCTACGCATAATCTATGATAAAAACCAACCGCGCTTGCGCCACACTACTCTTTCATTTTTTGTTTGAAATAGCTGTTCTGTACATAAGTACATATTACTTCAATGCATTTAACATATTTTACTCAACATAAATGTCGAGCATGTAGTAAGCGAGCACTTAAAACAGTTCGGTTAGTTACATTTGATAATGGGCGCTTATTCCCTGATTACTACGGCATACTTACATTAAGATACGTGAGGATTCGCCCTGTAAAACCAAAACCCAGAGGAGAACAGAGGCAAAATCACAAAGTCGTTGACTAGAATAACTAATTTATCAAGAAATAAATATCAAACAAACTTTAGCAATAATTAGGAACACTAACTGTTAATGATCATATTTATCAATGTATTTATCATGAAAATACATATTAATAGTTAAAAAAAATCATCAAAATGGCGTCAATCTTTTGACCCTTTATTATTTGATTAACTGATGAAGAGCTATCGCATCACAGTACCATCTACGCAAACGAGGCTGTAATTTTTGAGTTATAAGAAAGTGACAATATAAAGATGACCATATTATTACCCTCACGTACGCAATTATTTTGTGTATTGTATGTGTGTTTAATATAAACTTGTTTGCTTGCAGCCACCGGTTTCCATCATGAACTTCGTGGTTCGATACCGTCCCGACGAGCAGCCGTCGTTGAGGCCGCATCACGATTCGTCCACTTACACCATCAACTTGGCTCTCAACACACCGCGTAAGTATAAAGATGTCGATCTAGTAGATGTAAAAGCCTACTCTATAACTGGTACAGTAGAGTTCATTATTCAATTCTTAGCGTTTATCTAGCTAGATTCGCGTAATAAAATTTACCTCTTCTCATATACTCGTTTATTTGTTTTACTTTTGGTCTTAATTATTTTATACCAGTGGTCGTCTAGTAGTCGAAATTCAATAGTAATATTTTATTAAATTTTTAAGCTTGTATGTTAAGCAAGCTGTAATTCATTTATAACTTCACAAAGCACAGATATCTCGTCTACAAAATATAAAATTAACGCTTTTTGCATTTTTTGTCTATTGAAAAAATTACATTTGAAATCATTTAAAATTAAGCATTAATTATTTGTTGTCAACATTTTAAAATACTTTGGCTATAATCTCTGCTCAGTGAGACTGTTTGACCATAGACTATAATGTGTTTGGCAATTGACATTGACAGTATGAACGTAAACAATTTATGTTTTATTTCATTTTATTTAATTTTAACACATTATATCTCTATGTATAAAAATCAATTGCTGTCCGTTAGTCTGCTAAAACTCAAAAACGGCTCGACTGATTTTGATGAAATTTCTTGTGTATGTTTGTGTGGGTCCCTGCATGGTTTAGATTCACATTTGGTAGCGCTGATAAGATCAGAAATGACCAATGCGAAGCAAGGACGGATCGCTAGTTATATATAAATTTTAGCTTCCTGCACTCCATATAAACTTTAGCTATACCATCTCACACTCCTCCGAGCGCGCAACATTTTTAAAAATTGGTTCATGGATTTTCCCATCGCGCGTTATTATATAGATTGTTTGAACATTGTTTATAAATAAAATAATTTACATACAGATGTGGACTACGAAGGCGGTGGTTGCCATTTCCTTCGCTACAACTGCTCGGTCCGGAATACGAAGCCGGGTTGGCTTCTCATGCACCCCGGCCGCCTTACACACTACCACGAGGGTCTGTTGGTCACGAACGGCACGCGTTACATCATGATCTCCTTTGTTGATCCGTGAATATAACAGACTTATTGCCGTTACTGGAGATGCGTATATTTATCGCATAAATAAAAATACAAATTTTGACAGTTTTTGTTTAAGGCCACTATAGGTGTTGTGATAAAAAAAAAACAAGCATTGTAAAATTTTAAAGTTCACAAATAAATATTGGTACTGTCTTAGATTTAATCTTTTTTATAAAATACTTTAAACGGTCAATTCTATCCAGATTAGTTTTTTTTTTTTAATAACGATCTGATTATACGCATCTGATAGTGGAATTTTATTTTCAATATTATTATTAACTATGTAGTATAAGAAATGTGGATCGTGTTGGCTAGCCTTTTTTATATGTAAGTATAATTTGCTATATTTTTATATTATAGTTTATATTATGTATTTTTAATTCGGTATATTGACTGTATGCAAGTATAATTTTGTTAATACAAAAGAATACATATCGCTTTTAGTTGTGTTTTTATAATCAATATCACTATTTCTTGCCTAATTTAGATTAAGGATGCTGATGCAGAAAATGCTAACGTATGTCGTATTGTATAATATATCAAAAATTTATACACGTACAAATTTTTATCGAATAGTACATTTATTAAGTGTAATCTCGAATAATCGATTTATTAATAATATAGATATTTAGAATTTAATGTAAGATGCATTTAAATATCGTAAGGTCCATGTGGCACTCTGTTAACGATGATGTGACTGAGTAATAAATATTGAAAAAGTTATTTTCTTAATAAGACTTCACAATAAAATCAGTGTGCTGCGCAAAGATCGCCTGAAGCAAAATGAATCATAATTGTCTTGCAATAAAGTACTATTTCGTATACTCATAAGCGGAGCTAGTAAGGGACACAGTAAGGCCCCACCAAAAAACCTTGCGCCCCGAGAAAACTTAGTGTTTCCAACTAATTAGACTTGAGAAAAAATAGCAACAGTACCTAGCCAGTGTGTTGTTGCTAGGTTCTTTGGGACCATTGACCAAAATATTGGCTGTGTCTGCGAGTATACTTATGGTTTACTTTCATAATTAATTTAAAATAGGAACTCGTTTAGAGTATATAACTGCCGTATATATAAAGTTTAATAGCTTTTCCATTGTTTAGTTTATTATTATATGTGTGAAGTGTGATCGAAAATTATATTAATAAAATTTAAAATTATATTTTAAAAATAAATTGTGTTGTAATTTGTCGTTATGCCAAAGACTTGTAACTAAAATGTATTCTGAACGCAGTGTGACGTAATATATAGTCGACCTTCATGTATGTTTTATTTCGAATATGCCCTGACAAAATTAATAAAATGATACACTTATGCAATTGTTTCTATGTCTGCCTCTCCATATCGATGATATTTAGACACATGCACAATCCCTGACGGGGTAGCCAGAGAGAACAGATCGCCAAGTGTCACGATCCTTACAAACCTCTTTCGCTTCTTTCAGATTCATTATCTTCTTTGTCTAGGTATCCGAGTACTCTTGACCCTACCCTCTTCGAGCAATTTGTTCACATGGTCTTCGAAAGTTAGTCTCGGTCTATTTAGACACATAGTTGTTGAAATTCGACATATTTATAAAACACTGTATACGAATGATACAAAATTTCTATTTTCGACTGCGAAGTGTAACTTACAACAATAAATCAAAATCAGCGTGGTGTGTCAATGATTAAAAATAAATAGAGAGAGAAATATTTCATGGTTAGGAGGTTAATTTGTTAGGGAAATGTAATGGTTAATGTTTCTTTCTGAAATATTATTTATTATTAATCTTCGACGCAAACAGAGGGATGTCAGTAGTTAAACGTGTGTATCTGACTGCCATATTAAGCGTGTCACACAATACACAGATACGATAATATATGTGTATCTGAGCGCATATCTTTCAATATCGCTCTCTATGACATTCAATGAACTAACCATAGACTTACAATATTCCGCCGATAATTTATATTTTATGGTTAACTGTCTGTACCGACATATTATATCAAGAGGGAGTGACAATATTATCTGCTCATACAAATATATCTGCAGATACAAATATGTCATAGGATTTTACCTGCAGATAAATACAGGATGGTCGCTGAACAAATACGATTAAATTCGCCTCGGTCCTTTTTAAGGTTTATATGACGTTTTATCTAAATTACTCGCCTTTTAGTAAATGCTAACGCAACACGTGCATCAAAATCAACAAAAAAAAAAATATAACCAATCCGCTTCAAAAAACACGTCTTATAAGTTTGAAGGGATTCGAGTCAATATATCATTTCGTATATTGTATTTGCGTAGTGTGTGACACGCTTCAGTCTAATGGCTGGTACCGTGACGGCTGATTATTAGGTCCCGGGTCGGACCTAAATTAGTTATGAATGTCAAGATATTCTCAGTAGAAGCAGTGAGTCAGGAAAGCCGCTAGACGTGCGCCTGATCTCTCTGGTCGTGTCGGTTTACCGTCACATCGGACTTTGAGAGTAAGGGAATACAGAGTGCACCTGTGCTTGCGCATACACTTGGGCACTATAATCCTGTCCTGCGCAAGTCCTCCTACTTTGATATTGGCCTGTCGTAACCGAAATCCGGTCTGGAATAATGTCCATTATTTGTATATTTTTTTTACGTGGTAGAGCCATGCTGCAGCACGAATGGGTCGGCTCGACCGGGGAAGGACCACGCTCTCACAGAATACCAACGTAAAATAGCAGCTTAACGTTGCTGTGTTTCGTTTGGTGAGTGCAGAGAACCGGAGACCCTTTTTACTGGAAACGAGGCATTCCATCTTAGTCCTCACGGGTGACAACGCATCTGCATTTTGATTCTCATACGAGGATAGATGTAGATTTCTATGGGCCACAGCAACTACTTACCATCAGGTGGACTGTGTGCTCGTTTGTCACCCTTATCCTATAAAAAAAATCTGTATGTTTCTGTGGGATCGCTGTGCCCAAATGGAAGAAGGTAGAAGGTGACTTGCTCGAGAGTGTTCTCTGCTATGATTCAAGAAAATATGTTCAACCGCTTGAAGACCGTCAGCTCTTTTTTGTGTTGGGGGTATTTTTTTTTTATTTACGGTATACTTAAGTATAATAGATTAGAGATGCATGTTTTCTACAACTTTTATTTACAACGCAACTTCTCCATCATAATGACATTGTGTAACATATATCTTAACCTCAGTCCAAACTAGCGACATCTGGTGAGTGTAAGATTATTAGCCCTCAATAAAGCATCATTTTCAAATAAGATAATAGAAAACCATGTAAGTTGCAATAATTTCTCAAACTCATGTTTTTATGGTTGCAAATATAAGTCCAACGAAGACGGAACGCTGAGTAAGTTTCAAGTGATGCCAAAACCATGCATTTCTTGATGTACACGTGTTTTTTTTTCTGTTTTTAACCGCTCTTAATATTCCACTACTGGACGCACACATACACCTAAAACCATGTTGTTGGTTGCAAATTATTTCAAATGCATGTGTGCGTGAGTGAGTGTTCTTATAATAAGTTTTGTGTATTTGTCTTTGTCGGTCATGTACGAAACAAGCTTGTTATTTATAAATGACCGCGTATCGTAGCCCATTCTGTACAACATACATGGTAAATTTTACTATGGTAAAAGCGTAATAAAGATATGTATGTAAAGACGCGTATCGTTTTTCGTAGCCGCTAACATTAAAATAGCGTCTTCTTATATTTACGCGAACACTACACATTTAAATAAAACTAGTATTTACGGATTCTTGTCGCTTATATTAACTTAATTTATATTCCCGACATTTCGAGCACTTTACAAAAACATCGTAATTTGAAATTAAAAACATCCTAATTTCAATAGAGAAGATGGCTGGGTGCTACCATCCGCTTGGGATCCTATCTATAATATAAAAATGAATCGCTGTATTTGTTGCTAAGCGCAAATCTTGAGAGCAGCTGAACCGATTTCGCTAATTCTTTTTTTATTATATTCCTTGAAGTACAAAGATGGTTCTTACGGAGAGAAAAATTTAAAAAATTGCCTGAAAATGTCTAAAAACAACACTTTTCTATATTCCCATACAAAAGATTCGTAATAATCCTTACAAGTCAATGTGAACTCTAATACCATACCATAAAGTTTAAGTGTTAGTGGAGGGGTTCCGGGAAGGCAAAACAATTGAGTGACATTAGTATCGTATAAATATTATATCGTATCGTATCGTAACGTATCGTATCGTATAAATATTTTTCAATATTTATACGATGGAAATTTAATTTAGAATAAGTAAAAATGAAATGAAATATAATAAGTAGATATCATAATAAGAAATCAGAAATTGTAATTTTCATTGTGATTTTTAGTGACTATTAAAAGAATTTTAAGTATTTTATAATTTTTATTTTTTGATATAATGTAATTGTTGGTTTATCAACGTTCTTTTTTCTTTTTTTTATCTTACTAGCCGACCCGGTGTCCCGAATAGCAGAATAAGTATTAAAAAGAAATAAAAAATTAAAGAATCGACTGTTAGGCGGTACGAAGTTCGCCGGGTCAGCTAGTAATTAATAAAATTAAATCCCAACCCAAGTATACAACTGTAAGACTTCTACTGAAGTTCATACTGCCTAGATCGGAACAAAAATCAATAATTTTAATCTCGAGCTAGTCGTGGTTAACTATGACATTGGGACGTCAAACATCTCAGTCTCCCCCCGTGACCATGGGTGCTGTGTATAGCACTATATGCTCGAAACGTCGGGAATATAAAATAGGTCAATATATGCCATAAAATGGGTAAAAACTAGTTTTATTTAAATAGTGTCTGTTTGATTTCCAACTTGCCCTGGAAACAGACTTTAAGTAAAAGCTTGGACTGTTTGTAACTGTATGAAGCCTGTCTGCTATTGATAATACTTCGTCCCATTAACAGATTATTATTATCAATGCAATTATTTGACCAGAATTATTATATTATTTCAGAAAAGGTATAAGACCCAATACACAGCCCTGTGGACGAGCCCCGTTCTTAACCGATAGTTCATCTAGACTTTTGTAACCGTGCATGATATGAACTGTTTCCGCTCAGCTAAATACGAATTAAACCAATCTAAAAGCCTGTTACACGAATTCTCCATTGGATCCAAGAGTAGTGTTGTTGAAACTGTATCAAATGTTATTTTTAGGTCAACATATATTTATTATTATATATAAATATAATAATAATCACTTATTATTATATATAAATATAATAATAAATATTTATTGACCTTTATTATTATTATCTTCTTTTCTCACTATTTAACGTATTTTACGTGGAAAAGTATCTGCCGTATTTTCAATTTTTGAAAGCATAATTTATTTTTGCGTTACAATCTAAAATGTATAAGTTTTACTTTAACAACTTTCTCTAAAATGTTACTTACATGATATTAAAAAAAAAGTTTAACTATAATTTAAAGCTAGCTTTTTAAAAGTATTCAACCGTGACGTGGTGATGTGAGAGTATCCACTATACCTCATATCGTCTCGTGGGTGTCGTAGGAGGTGACAATGGGAAACAAATCAGGAGATAGGCTGCAGTGCCTTCCTAATAACAACTAGAAAATAAAACAAACAAAGGCAAAATCCCCCCTTCGAGTCAATCTATAGAAGAGGCCTATGCTCTACCGTGGGCTTTTAATAGATAATTGTATAAATAAAAATGGAAAAGGTAATTAAAACCATCATTGAATCTGGAAACATCGCAGATTTTGTTATTTAATAATCAGTTTTATTATTATCAAGCGAGAAGTCTGATATGTCCAGGTTTTCGACAGTCTCCGTCGATTCTTCCGATTTCCAATCGTCGAACACTTCACCAGGGTAGTGAAAGTGTTTAGAGAAGGAAGGTTCAGCGTATCTATGGTATCTTCTCCACTGGTGTTCTTCGACCTTCCAGTCCCACACATGAGGCAGGAACCATCGCATCCACTCTGGTACGAAACGGTCCATATAATAAAAGCGCCTTCTCCAAGCCCTTTGTGTGTCGATGTAATCGTAATTAGAGCTCTTTAGCCATTCTGGTATCCTAAAAGTAAAAGATTTATGAACATGAAAATCTACACCAGTTAGAAAAATAACACCTTCTCCACCATGTGGTAAAACTCTCTTACTGCATAGGTAGGTTATCTACCTATATAGGACCTACCAACCTCTTACTAATTTTACCTGCCAAATAGCAATGCCTGAGCTGTTGTGTGCAGGTCTAAAGGGTTTTGAGTTTGTTGCAGGCTGTAAAGCCATAATATCTTAGTACTTAAAGGTGGCAACTCATTCATGCCCATGGGCTGCAGTAATCACTTACGGTCTGGGGTACTGTAGGATCATTTGTAACTTAAAATTAAAAAAAAAGAAACGACAAGAAACTCCTAGGTATATTTAAATGCAAAAAAATTATACCGTAATAGGATATTAGGAGCGTGCTCAATCTATTGTACTTTAGCTTAATATAAAAGTTCATATACCTACACATTGTGTAGGTATTTATCATAATAAATAATTTTATTTATTTTTTTATTATTTTTTATTTATTTTTTATTTGGAAGACCAACAGCTATCATAATTAGGTTAGATAAATTAGTATTATCTGATCTAATTATGATAGCTGTTGGCCTACAGTAAGCCAATTAAAGGTCCTCAATAATAGATACAAAGGTGAATTTACAACAGTGATAAGCACGATTCAACACTCAAGAGTATCCAATACTAATATACTTATGCCAAATGAGGACTTATCTGATATAACATGTATTATACATATAAAAGAAAAAAAAATAAGTAAATCGTTAGTTTTGTAACAAATGCATCAGTATCGCACTTAGAGCTAAAAGATGCATTGTTAAGTATGCGCTTGGCTGACGCATCGCTAGTGTCAAACAAATCGAAGTCAAACTCATTGGCTAGGTTGTTAAAGTTATTGCTCGCTCGCCAAATAAATGGATTTTGTCTATAATTTGTACATGCAAACGGGAGACTTGAAGTTTGTTGTGTCTAAGAGGTTTGGCAGGACAGCTAAGATGTAGTTGAGATAAAACCTCGGGACATTCAATAGCACTACAAGCTATTTTTAACAGAAAAGTGAGATCAGCAATCTCACGGCGCTTAGCAAGAGGAAGAAGGTGATGTTTTTTTTACAATAACTAATATAATTATCTGAGGTATAGCGATGGTCTTTGGTTCTATAACAGAGGTAACGGATAAACTTTCTTTGGCTATTTTCAAGTCGGGTAATATATGTTGCATACCTGGGGTTCCAGATTTGAGATACGTACTCTAAATTACTTCTTATAAAACAACAATATAGGATCTTTAGAGTTTTAGGCTTAGTGAAATCCTTAGAGCTACGCATCACAAATCCAAGAGCTTTCGAAGATTTGGCTATAATGCTTTCTAAGTGAGCGTCACATATTAATTTAGAATCATGAAGAACACCGAGATCTCTAACAGTGGAATCCCTTTTAAGATTTTTTATATTTGCGACTATAGGAAATAAAGCTACATTTAGAAAAGTTCACAAATCTAAGTAGTTTAGGTGGCAATAACGCTCTTGATTTGACATGTCTTCTTGTAAAGTTTCACCATCATCAATCGATGTTATTTTCAAGAAGAGCTTCATATCGTCGGCAAAACATAATAAGCGAGCTTTCTTCAGATAATGGGTAATGTCATTGATAAAAATAACAAATAATAACGGTCCCAGCAGTGAGTCTTGTGGCACCCTACTTGGAACAGTTACTCATCCTGATATGTAGTTGCTGATGACAACAGCTTGTGATCGATTATTTATACAAGACGTGAACCACCTAAGCAGATCGCCATTTATACCGATCTTGGATAGTTTCAGTAGTAGCAAATTATGTTGTATTCTGTCAAAGGCTTTACTATAATCGGTATAAACGACATCTACCTGTCTGCATTAAAGAGCGCAAGATTTGAAACAGTAGAGCGTCCTCTTGAAAAGCCATGTTGAGTTGGATTGAGTGAATGCTTTAGGGCCGCGTATAACTGATTATAAATAATTCCTTCAAACACTTTAGATACAATGCATAACTTGGAAATCGGTTTTTGACCGTATTTTCGTAAATATCAATTGAGGTGATATCTGCACTCAACTGAGACGACGCTGGAGAATCATTATAATAATTTTTGGACATAATAATAAACAAATTGTCTAGGTATTTATGATAATAAATAATAATATGGTGCCTTTCCATGCTTACCAAGGCTCGGCAAACGTCCACAAGTGCAAGCGTGTAAAGAGGGCGTTTGGCTTGGCTTGCTTGAGTTTGTGGACTCTTGTCTCCGATCCGGTCTAGTGTCGGTTTTTGGACACAGGTCATAGGGCGTTTGCGGCATGCGCATGCGACGGATTCACACGTTGATGCGTATTTAGTAGCCATTGTGATTTCGCAACGAGCGCATGTTTATTTCTTTGTTTAAAATGAGTGATAAAAGTTGCAGATGCTTGGAGTCGTCTTGCGGAGTTAACGGGAAAGCCAATAAAAAAATTAAAAGCCAAAAAAAGAAATATTGATGATAATGTCCGCCATGCTTGGGTGATACCAAACGAGATTTTTGGACGCTTGGAGCTTGAAGACGTTTGCCAAGGCTTGGCAAGTATGTAAAGGCACCAATAGACCAGTTGTGTAGGTATATTATATAATGACACGCTGGTGCCATAGAGTAGTAAAGTAACAGAGAGGTCACCAATGCCACAGTTTAAATACATAACAGTTGCGAAACGAATGTACTTGTGCAGAGCAAGCAGTGAATACATTACATAACTAACCAACCGAAAACTGAAAACATCTATATAAAGAAACTGTCATGAAAATATTTGGCAGTGCAACACTTGTAAATGTGTTTTTTCTTGTAGTAATAAAAATGATCTTGTTCAATAAACTTTGTTAACGTATAAGTATGTACATAATGTTAACAAATGATAATGATTATTATAATATCCAATATCATTTTATTCGCATTTTTGTGACAACCCCATGTATACACGCTGGCCACGTAATTACCAAGATATCAAAAGCGTTTCATAACTGTAAGGTCTTAAAACTGTGTCAATGTTTTACCTACCATAATCTCTCACCCATAGATATAATAAAAGAAGAATATTTCTATGCTCTCACCAAACACTACATCGGTCAAATAAGTATTTTCATTTACACGAATATCCTATGAATATTTTTTTATCATACGATTTATCGTACCTATTACGATTATCATCAACACCCATAAAAATATCTACTCTATTCTAAAACACCGTGGTAGATTGTAAGTAGATTGTATCGTAAAAATAATTGTTCTTATGTCAACATCTAGGATGAAAGCAGAGGAATGTGTTTGTATGTACTAAACGTCGTTCAGATATCCTCTTAAGGCGCTCGCTGCACCATAGGTTTACCACTTCATTTTTTTTATATAAATATATACTCACATGCTCAAATGTCTAAGACCCCATCTGTATGCAGTGGTGTAGAACCATGCTGAGAAGGGATCAAGGTGAGGAAAGCACTTCCGAACATTCCAACCCGAAGCTAGAGCTACCACCGTTACGCCTACTTGGTATCCGTTGATCAAAACGACCGTACCAGCTTTAATTTCATCTGCAGATGGTTTTCCAACTCTTGTTTTCGTCATTTCTGCGAATGAGATGAGGTAAAAGTGAATCCTTATAAAATTTATTTACTTATTTAAATATACAATATTGATAACTATGTATATTAACTATATAACGATATTATATTTGTTTTACAGAAGAGGTCCATAAGAGCAATTTATGATTTAAAGCCTAAAGAGTCGCTGCAACAAAAATTTAAGGAAATTAATATATTAACTTTGGCTTCACAATACATTTATGAAAATGTAATGCACGTACACAAAAATAAAGATAGTTTTACAAAAATAAGTGATATTCATTCTGTAAACACTAGGAACAGACACAAGCTAGTAGTACCAGTTACTCGACTCCATCGGGTCAGTAATTCATTCTTAGGGTGATGTATACGCTTTTACAACAAACCAGAAAATATACAAAATTTGACCTGCTCAAAGTTCAAAAACTTTATTAAACTAAATTTGTATAAAAAGGGTTATTATAATATTAAAGAATTTATGGATGATAATAACCCCTGGAAATGAGGTGATCGTTACCAAGCTATTTCTAATTTGTTGTTTAGTTAATTTGTGTAACATACATGATTGTAAGCTGTTATTTTAAAAAAAAGTTCTGCTGGGTTTCTTGCTGGTTCTTCCCAGGACAGAGGTTTGTTTTCGAACCAGTGGTAATTAAACAAAAGAGTGACTTTCAAGAAGTATTATTTATAATCTATATTGAATAAAAAGTTTCTGTTTCTGTTTCGACTTCTATACAAATAAATAAAATTGAAGTGTCTGTTTCTGATGTCAAAATAACAGCTTTTTACAAAATGCATAATATGAAAGTATATACGGTATTTATAACAAAGGACAATTTTTAAAATTTTTGTCTGTCTGTCTGCCAATCTGTTTGTTCTTGGCTTGGCTCTACCACGTAAAATTTAAGTTGTACCTACATTTTTATCTACATAGCGCATGTCTGTTCCAAGTGCAATGTGTCCTTCAATAAAAAAAAAAACTAACATGGGACCAGTACATGAGACTTTTGACATTACTTACGTGTTGTCGGGATTGTCAAATCAAGTCCCAGTCTTGGCCTCCAAAAAAAGGTTCCTGGCAAAGGGCACTGAAAAATGTTAAAAATCCTAAAGTAAGTCTATATAGGGTTATTTTTCAGTTGATTGCGCATTTTCCAGAAAATACATGTTTTTTACACAGATTTAGAAATCGATTATTTTAATAATCGGTTATTTAAAAAATATTTATTTTAGATTTAATTATATTTCTTCTTAAACATACTTTTTATAGAACAACTTGTCCACATTAAGCCAAGAATGAACAATCCCCTTTAAACTTTTTTTTATAAGGGTGACAAACGAGCACACATCCTCGATTACGAAACAAAATGCAGATGCGTTGTCACCCGTGAGGACTAAGATGGAATGCCTCACTCTACACTCACCACACGAAACACAGCAGCATTAAGCTGCTATTTTACGCTGGTATTCTGTGAGAGCGTGGTCCTTCCCCGGTCGAGCCGACCCATTCGTGCTACAACTATACCAGAAATATAGCTGCAGCATGGCTCTACCACGTATTGAGTTCTTATTATTATTAACTTGAGTTCAAATAAATAAATAATGATATACCGTTATTGCAGTTTTTGAAAATAGGAGTAATAGGGCTTCTATTTTTACCTATATTTTTGTTATAGAATAAGGGTTACACACGAGCACACAGTCCACCTGATGGTAAGTGGTTGATGTGACCCATAGACGTCCACAACTATCCTCAATAAAGAGTCAAAATGCAGATACGTTGTCACCCGTGAGGACTAAGATAGAATGCCTCATTTCCAGTAAAAAGGGTATGTGAAATTATCCCAAATTTAATGTGATTTATGTGCAACAACGTTTTTGCCTACCGATCGTTATGCTGTGTGCGCAGTAAAATCAATTAAAACACTGCATTTTCCACGCATTTTGAATTTAAAAGAAAATGGACAGAATGTTTGAGATTTTTTTTTATTTATCTTTTGCCTATATTACTTATTCTGAACCTTCTCTGCGAATTTGGCCGGTTATTGGAAAATAACCCTTATTTTCATTAATTCATTACATCCCTTCACAAGTTCACTTTTGAATATAGGCCTCCCCGCGATATCTGCCACTCGAGAACCTTTCTTCGCTATCGGTTGTCGGTTCTTCAAGCTATATGGCCGGCCCATTTCCACTTCAGCTTACTAATCCGTTGGGCTATGTCGGTCACTCTGGTTCTACTGCAGATATCCTCATTTCTAAGTTTATCATGAGAAACCGAGCATAGCCCTCTCCATGGCTCGCTGAGCGACCTTGAGCGTCCTCATACGGCCAGCAGTGAAGGACCACGTCTGAGATCCATAAGTCATCACTGTTAACACGCACTGGTTGTACAGTCTCGTTTTCAGGTTTTGAGGTATGCCTGACGAGAAGATGTGTCTTAATTTCTCTAAAATAATCCTGTATACCTACATATAAATATAGTTGAAGAGACTGTCTGTAATATCGAATCAAGGCAGTTGATTCGATATTACAGACAGCATATTGAGTTAGGGATTATTTACTGGCCATGACACGAATATACATTTTCAAGATTTTTATCTGTCTGTCTGTCCGGGCTAATAAATTAAATACGTTTCTTTTACGCCTGGCTTACATATGTATGCTTTTACCTCCATCTACCGATAGTTGCGAGATCTTTCTATTAGACTTGTAACGAATAGTATATTCGGTCATATGTCGAATACCGAATATTCTGCGGACTTTCTGGCCGAATAACCGAATATTAGGCAAAATAATTCGGCCGGTAAGGAAGTAGTGTTTACTCTTCAGAGCGTCTATTCTCTGAAGCTGGGATTGTCTACGAGAAAAAAAAAACGAGTAAACTACTGCCTGATAAGGAAGAAAAATTAGTCTTTCTGCAACATTATCTTCCACTTTATTATTTTATTATTGGCTGTACTGAAAATCAGCGTTACGAATTGTATATATATATATATATGTTTTCAATTCGTGACTTAAAGCTGAGTGGAGACCATTTTGGTGCATATTACGTTATTCCTTTTTTTATATTTATGTAAGTTAAAAAAAAAAAACTGTTTTATTTGATTTATTTTTCTTTGTTATAATTTATATGCCAAATAAACTTATTGCCCATTTTTTTCCTTACTTTCACTTTAATTATGATAATTCGAGTGCATAGACATTTATCTGGTAATGTTTTTTAATTTTTATAATATATAAATTGATTATGTACCATGTGGCCACTTTAATGAATACAAGAAAAAATTTTATTATAAAACAACAAAATAATTTCATTTTACCAATTATCTGACTACAATAGAACCTATTACTTCTTGTACTATTATTTATTCTGTGCTCTTACTTAAGTATTCGGTATTCGACCGAATATGATAAAAGTAGCCGAATAGACTGAATACCGAATAAAGTTTTTTTTTAACTAAGTATTCTGAGTGTAAGAGATACCTGATGGTAAGAGATGATACAATCAAAAATAGTAAAGCCCACTGATTTATCTTAGTAAAATATTATTCACTCTTGCGTTGAAGATACGCAACTACCTTGTACAACCTATTTCAACCTACATTGTAATCGGATGGTAAGACTGATGCTGGTAAATTATTTTAATCAAATTCCTTAGTCGCCATTTAAACTAATGCCTCTAATATCCACGCGAGCGATATTAGGCGATTCTCTTTTTTTTATAGGATAAGGGTGACAAACGAGCACACAGTCCATCTGACGGTAAGTGATTGCTGCAGCCCATAGACATCTACATTTATCCTCTTTTAGAAATCAAAATGCAGATGTGTTGTCACCCGTGAGGACTAAGATGGAATGCCTCATTTCCAGTAAAAAGGGTCTCTGGTTCTCTACACTCGCCATGCGAAACATAGCAGCGTTAAGCTGCCATTTTATGCTGGTATTCTGTGAGCTCTCTTACCACATACCACCACACGTCCAAGTTTCATAAAATGTGTAGTACCTACTATGTTTCACAAAATGTGAAGTATTTCACTGCCTCATTGACCAATGGGACCAATGGGTCTGGTGGTTGTGAACGCGGTTGCTGGTAAAGGGGTCCTGGGTTCGAATCCCGGGTCGGGCCAAAGTCGGAAGCGGAGAGGTTGGACTTTACTCTCGAATGAGAGCATCCACGATTTTTTCTGCCACTAGGGCGGCGTCACTTTACAGTGAGGTAAAATATTTGACAGATTTCATAGCGGGGACTATAGTTTCTTTCTGTATTATTAGTTATATTTTATATTAATTACATTAGAAAAAATGAATAAACTAAACTATACATATGACTAAAAGCCCATTTTTTAAAAAAAAAAGTGTTATAAAGTGCAAAGAATTTAAAATCAAACCACTGACGCGTTGCGTTGTGTATTAATATAATACTATATAATAATAATAATAATAATATATACTATAGATAATGATAAATTATTATTTAAAAGTAATTTCTCAATTAACTGACACAGTGTAACAAAAAACTTTACCTCAGTCACAACTAGCGACATCTGGTGAGTGGAAGATTATTAGCCTTCATTTTTTAAATCACTCGTTTCACTCACATTAAGTCGTATTTATTATTTTACATCGCACTAATACGTTATGGAAAGCACATGGTTAGAAAGAGGAAACACTAATAAACAAGCCTCATGATTTTTTTTAAATTCAGCAATACACGTATTATTTAAAAAAAAGTCCTTTAGTCTGTGGTTCATAAATTCTCTGTGTACAAGATATCTCGAGAGCTACATAACAAAACGACTTAATTTTTTTTTTCACTATCGTCAGAGTCACTCAGTGCTGGTTCCTTTCGTTAATCACTTTTGTAATCCGTTAAAAATATTACATGATCGTTTTGGGTGTGCACTTTTGGATTCTCCAAATTTTTTGAGTTTTGCTGTCAAGAAATTTTGTAAGAGTACCTACCAGCCTAGAGTCAGGAAGTTGGCGGTTTTTGACTCCTGG